GAAAAGACGGAAGGATTATATGTCTTGAGTTTGTATATAAAAAGTAAGTGAATGTGTAATATTATATTTGTAATTTAAATAAAAATTAAGAGTATTTTGGTACTAGTATATTATTACTTTTACTTTAAAAAAAATAAAAGAAATACTTTGAAATGATATGCACATAAATGATAAAAATAATAATTTGAAATAAGACGGAGGGAGTATTTTGTAGTAAAAAAGATAAAATTTTTCTTATTAATATAATATATAAATAATATTATTTATGTAATATATGGTAAGTTGTAAGGATATTTATTATATTGAATATATAATACAATTATTGAATTAAAAAATACTCCCTCCGTCCCACATACTGTAGATACGGTATTTTAGAAGGGGTGTAATTAGTAGATAATTAAGAATGTATTAGTGAAAATAATTATTCTATAATATAAATAATTATAAATTAAGATTAAAATAACTAATTAGTTTAATTAAAATTAAAAAAAATAAATTAAAAAGTTTAAAATGAGATTAAAGTATATAATCATTTTCCAAAAAAAAAATTGACATGGCACGTAAGACGGACAGAAATGACAACGTTGACATAGCAGGTGAGACGGAGAGAGTAATACAATTATTTTAGGAGGAACAAATATAAAAAAGTAGAACTCTTCTCATGGCAGAAAGAAAGTATTAAATTTTTATTCTTTTGAAAATATATATTTTTTATAATAATAAAAAATTAAATATACTATAATTTAATATTTTATAAAATAAATAAAATAATATATATATATATATATATAGCAAATTGAATAATAATATTCTCTCCGTTCTAATAGAGTTGTCTTATTTATTCATTTTTATCTGTTCCAAAATAATTATCTTGTTTCCTTATTTAGTAATAGTAGTCTCCACTTTATAACAAAATTATTCCTACTTTTCCAAACTATGCCTAATTATTACTCAAATCTACATTTTAAAATCATTCAAAAAGTAAGGGTATTTTAGTCTTTTATCTTCGATAACCACTTTCAATTAAATATTATTATTCTTTAATTTTCGTGTCCACTTCCAATAATACTTTTTTTTTTTTTTTTTTTTTAAAAAAAAAACTGAGGGAGTATTAAAAATTGAAAAGAAGGTGAAATTAGGATGACGAAATGAAACAATATTGGAATGTGAGGGTGAGTCAGCCGCACGTATTCCATTCCATTCCTAATGCTAATCTCAACCATTCTCCACTTCACTTTTCATTTTCAACCAACGTCTGCCTTCACTTGTCTATTTATTTATTTATTTATTTTTAATTTTGTTATTTAATATGGATTTTACACAAATAAATATATTTTGATTATTTATTAATTATATTATAGTTTTATTTTTATAAATTTAAAATAAATAATATATATATAAATTATTTAAATTGTAAAATATATAAATTTATTAAAATTAACACAAAATAAAAAATATAAATATTAATAATTTATTTTTATATTAAAATTAAATTATATAAATGTTATAATAAAAATAAATTAAATTTATTAAAATTATAAATATAATGAACTAATCGATGGTTAACATAATAAATATATATACGAAAAATTTATTATTTTATATTTTACATCATTTTCAATAGAAAAAACTATTTATATTTTTCAATAAATATATATTAGTATTTAAATATAACTATAATAAAAATAAATATTATTTTATAACACTTTTACAATTTTTAATAACTAATAATAAAAAAATTTCAAACATTTTAAACTAAAAAAAAAAATGCAATTGAATATATATATATATAAAAAAATAAAATATAAATGTCTTCAATTGTTACGTATAAACATTTGTTTTACCAAACATTTTAATACAAACAACTAATCAAATCCGTTAGTCAAACATGCTAATTGAATCAACTAACAATTATCAGCTAATTGAATCACCTATCAGCTAATTGTCAAACACGCCTTAAATTATATTATTTATTTTTAGAAAAGAGTTATATATTTTAATTTTTAAAATTTTAATTAGACAAATTATTATTTTAATATTAATTTATAATTATTTTTTATTATACAATAATTATTTTTAATGAATTTTAGTATTTATTAATTATATTTCTTCTAAATTCTTGTATCTATGGTATGGGGATATGATAACCAAAATGTAAGGAGTAGTATATATTAAACTAATTGTTAGATATGTATATATATTTTTAAATTTAATAGTATTATTTTTATTTTTAATTTGAATTTGAATAGATAATAAAATAATGTAAGAATACTAAATACCAAGTCGATTTCTAGGTTATACCTACTGAAACCAGACCTTTTTAGTAAAATATAATAAATTTATTATTATCAAAATGATCTGAACCTTTTCAAAAATCTCCTGGTGTATTTACCGTGGGACTTGACTTTTGATTTTTTTTTTTCAATTTTCTTTTTCAAAAAAAAAATTAAATCAAATACTCTATCCGTCCTATTGAAATATTATTATTTTTTATTTTCGTCCGTCCCAAAATAAGGTTACTATTTCCTAATTTAGTAATTGTATTATCCACTTAACATAATAAATACCATTTCAACTTACAATATATTACACAAATGCCATTACTTTTATATTACACCGTACTAATAGGAGTATTTTTATCTTTTTTTACTACAATTTAATATAATACTAATATTAAAAAAATTACGTGCAAAAAACAAACGCCACACTTTTAAGGGACGGAGGAAGTACATGTGTTTTTATTTACTGAATAATATTTCTCCCCTCTAATAAGATTGGTACACTTGAATCCAACACCAAAATTTTTAAAAAAATATAGATATATTAATTGTAATAAATCAAAATAATAAAATAAATAAATTAATTATAGATTGAGAAAGTATTTCAACCAAAAATTGCGTGTTTTTTTAGTCGAGTTTGAAAATTTTTTGTTTAAATTTGGTATTAAAATAATATTTAATGAGATGTTTTGTGATAAAAAAAATATATATATTTTTTCGAAAAATGTAAAATCCAAATAATAAAATTTAAAAAAATTGAGGTAAAGAAACATTTATCTTCCTAATTAGATACATACATATGTATATATATATATATATATATATAATAGGGGAACTAGTCCCCAAACTCCGAAGGGCTGGTCTCAAACTTATTGCTATTGATCTGATCATGTTTTTTTTTTTTTTTTTTCGATTTTCTGTGGTACAATAAAAATAAAATATAAGATGATAAATTTATAGTTACAAAATAATTTAACATAATTATATAAAAAATATATATTTTATATTAAAAAATAAAAAATTGGGGGCAGGTGGTGCCTTGCCCCAAGGTAGGTCAGCCATATACCTACATAAAAAAAATATATATATATATATATATAAACTCTATATATTTTAAAAATTAAGAGTTTAACATAAAATAAAACTTAATTATTTGATTTAATATTTTTAAAATTAAAAAAAATATGAATAATAGTAAAAATTTAGTAAAAAATCTATGAAAAAATGAAATTAAATAATAAAAAATCCCTAAATTTTGAGATTTTCAAATAAGACCTACTGGTTGGATTTATATTAAAAAAGAAAATGAAGAAAGAAACTATTTTTTTCAAAATCAAACTTTGTTTGACCGTAAATTTGAAAGTTAAGTATGACGTTAAAAATTTGATCACAACCCAATTTAGCCTTATCCGGATCAAAATTACTAAAATAGTCTCGGTCAAAGTATGGAATAAACTAGCCTGGCCCACGGGCCAGATTATCCTGAGCCAAACTATATACTTTTTATAAAAGAAATTAAATAAAATATAATAAATAAACAGGCCGGATCAATTCCGGCCCAATTTTAATTGATGGACCCATATCAGTATATTAAAGCCCACCACAACACTATATGGGTATGTTTATTTTGATGAATTTAGATGTGAAAAAGAAAAAAAAATATTTTGGGCTAGAAATGCAAAATACAAACTGTAAAGTTTGAAGGCAATAGTAACAAACTTATTTATTATATAAAAAAATAATAGAATACATAATACATAAACATTTAATTTAATACTCTCTCCGTCCCAAAACTATAGTCTTAATTGAGTTTGACACAAAATTCAAAAAATATTGATATTATATTGATAGTCAGTAAAAATATAGATAAAAGACCTTTTTGCCTATGTGAGTGTATTAGTTTAAAAAATAGTGGCAATTGTAATAAAAATGAAAAAGTAGGGATAGTTTTACAATGATATGATTATTTATAAAAATAATACTATTGTTTTGGAATAGACAAAAATGATAAACAAAACTATTGTATTAAGACGAAGGAAAGTATTTTATAAAAGAAATTAGATTATAATTGAAGTAAAAGTCAATAAACAAACACAATCTAGGCATTCCAGAAATATGGTCGCACAATTAATATTATATATATATATATATAACATCACACATTATTATTTTTTAGATTATATATAGAAAAGCAAAGCATTGAAGAGAAATGGGTATGGTTAATTTGCAAACACCATTGTTTCTTTACAGTACAAAACTCCAGGTTTTTGCTATTTGGAAAGAATACACCTTTTTACTCTCAAGAACATCTCATCATATTATTTATTATCAAATTCAAACCAAATTTTTGCCAAACACAAAAAAAAAAGAAAAAAAAAAAAAACATACCCATATGTAGAGCTGTTAAACGAACCGAGCCGTTCATAAAGTCGGTTCGATTCAGCTCGGTTAAAGCTCGTTCGTGAACATTAACGAGCCGATCCGAACAACATAAACAGACTTGTTTAGTTAACGAACGAGTCCGAGCTTTGTTCGGAAACATTTGCGAATGCGCGTTTAAATAATATATTTATTATAAATATTATATATACATATAAAATTATAATTTATAAATACATAAATATTAATTTAAAATATATAAATAAAATAATTTTAAATTTTCTTTTTAATTTATATATAAATTTTAAAAAGTGAGACAAACAAGCTCGAACGAGCTTAATCGAGTCTAAATAAGCCGAATACAAACACGAGCTCAAACAAGAAAAATTCTTAACGAGCCGACCTCGAACACTACGAACCAGCTCGAAAGCTTAACGAACGAACACGAGCCTTGTTCGCGAGCGTTAACGAACACTTAAAATTTGGCTCGACTCGACTCGTTAACAGCTTTACCCATATTCAACCAACAGAACAAAAAAGCACTTTCACAAAGCAAGTCATGAGAGTATAGCACAGCATAGAGATTAAGAGAAACACAAACCTTGCCTTGCCTTGCCATCTGTGTTCTTAATTTATTATCAGTGAGTCTGTCTGTAAATGCAGGCAAAGGCAGGTAACATGCAATCTCAAAAATGGCGTCCAGTCCACTCCATACAAGCAAACAAACACAATATAATTAACCAGAGAAACAGATTCACCATCAACACTGAGAATCACATCTCTCAATACGGCCTGTAGCGCCGTCTAATTCTCGAAGTCCTCCTGCACCGAAGTAAGAAGAATGTGAGGATCATGCGACGAGAGCCAACTATAAAACAGACATCAAAAGTGAAAAAGAAACAGAGACATCTGAATTGTTTCAAAATAAAAACAAAACGTGTTGTAGCGCTCACCCATAAGAACGGGAGCCGGGGGGGATGGTTCTTGATCCAGAATATGGACTCGGATATCCCCAACGATGCTGCCTCAGACGGGGAACATTTGTTCTCTTAGCACACACCTGTTCAAACGATGTTTGCTGTAAATATTATCAAATCATTTGTTGCCTCTACAGATAGAGATATGAACACACACCTTCAGTTCACGGCCGAGCAACTCCGATTCATTTAGCAGTAGTGCATTATGTACAGAGTCGACCTCTGCAAACTCCACGTAAGCAAACCCTTTGGGGTGACCATTCTGGTCATGCAAGATAGTAACCCTGTTTATTGCCCCACAGGGCAGAAAGTGGCGCCGCAACTCCTCAGTCGAGCAGTTATAGTCCACCTATAAAAAGGGCTGAGCAATTACAAAAAGGATATACATATATGTGCAAAGTCTGTACATGGACCCGCCTATACTTAATGGTAAAAGGCTCTCCAGCACATTACAAATAGGAACTATGTCGAGATTAACAAAGTAAAAAGGGTACAAGATTTAACAAGAATTGAGTTAACTAATAGAAGATTGCAATATTAATAGAAAATAAGAATTATAAATAATAGTAGAAAGTACAAAGCATGGCAGATCAACTTCCCCGAATGCAATTCCTGACATTAAGCTAATTTAGCCATGTAAATAATGCATTTTCACTAATACTTCTAGCCTACATGTTGAAAACCAGTCTACATTTTCTTTAAGGTTCCAAGCAGTTAAAAACACGTGCAGACTCCCATTCAAACAATTCAATGCACTGACAGGAAGACGAAGAAGATGATATATTCGAAAAATGGACATTGAAACTCACATTGCCAACATAAACTGATCTAGAATCCTGCTCTTGCTTTACAGCCTGAGTGGCAGCAGAGAAACCACCTGAAGCATGATCTTGATTGCATGGTTAGCCGAATAATCCAGCAAATTACTCATCCATAAATACCATAATTCAGTAAAAGAAGTAGAATTAAATCATCCCACCATTTTCAAATTATAGCCAATCAGTCTCCATCCATAAATTTGATACAAGTACATGATCTAAATAATAAATCAGCACATTTATAGCAATTTCATTGTCATTAATTTGTTTCAAAGTCTTTAGTTAATAAAAAATGGAAGCATTTCCGGTAAGCTTTATACACTATGTGAGGTCATATGGATCACATGCCACTATTATGTTCGATTAGAATATATAACACAAACTTGTCTAAACTGATATGCAACCTTTTACTTCTTAGTTTCACCTTGGCCCAGGCTGAGCTTGCGCTCTCTTATGTTTTCATCCACTTGTGGTACCCCCATTTCCATCTAAAGCACTCAATAAGTATTTTATTTAGTTTAGCATAATTTCAGTTTACTCAGCAATGTATCCATAGGAATCATATTGGAGTCCTACAAATCAATTAAAATGAAATACAATAGAGAATGCAATCCTCCATTTATTCCAACCAGCTTGAACGCTGTAGTGTGATTTTGTCGATTCCCATAGGTTCTTTTCAAGGATAAATCCTAAATACTTAAAACCAATATGTTCCTACCTAAAAGATTGCACCTAAAATAATGGGAGGCCGATTTGCAGGTATTTACATAAAATAATAACCAAAGAGAAACTTATGTAACATTGCAGCACAACATAAAGAACATTCTGAGAGTTAAAAACGAAATTCAACCACCGTTCACTGAGCTTTCGTATAACAATGTGAAATTGACTTATGGTCAAGTTCAATTTTGAATAAAATACAAATATACTATAGCCACCAAAAACTCAAATAATTCTAAGATACACAGACCATTTTTTCCTCCTATTAATGCTACCAAATCACAACAAGCAGATTATTTGCTGAAGTGGAAAAACATAATTCTACTAATCTAATTGTGATTCTATAACTATGCAAACTTTTTTGGGAGACAACAATTGAAAACTGTCAATTGCAAGTCTGATAGCACATCAAACTTTTGAAACTCAAAAAAGGGAATATAAAATACTTCTCATCAGACGGCCGAAAAATGAAATAGGAAATATATCTAGATAACATTCTAATCATTGAACTGCACAACTAGCAATCTAGATCTCATCAGAATGTCAAATCATACAACTATACACTTATTAGAAAAATCTAGCCACTCTTTTTGAAAAAATTCATACGACCTAATCAGACTCTGGTGTTTCAAAAGTATAAGCCTGTGAATGGCCGTAAAATACCAACAAAAACAAATTATCTACTCCAATGCAATTTACAAAATAAAAGATATAAAACGCAAGGAAATGACTTCTTCCGCACCATAATTCGAATTGCGATAACCCGACATGACTTGCAGCTTCACAAACACAGAGGCAGGCAGTCTTTCAGAGGAGATAGCAGCCACCGGACGGGATTCAAGTCACAGGCTCTTACGCCCAATTTCAAACTGCACTATATAATAGGGTTTCGTGGAGACGAAGAATACGAGTGACGGACATTTCAAGGAAAAAAAAAAAAACTCTTGGTAAAAAGCAAGGTGGGGAAAGGGTGACAAGTGGACAGCACATTAAAAACTGCATGGTGGAATCGTGTAAGATTCGTCATAAGAAAGTAAATAAGATTTTGTTGATATAAATGTATTTAATCAAGACAAAAATACCATATTTCAACAATAAAGCCCACAAAGGAAACACAATGCCGTACTCACGCTGAGAATGGGTATAAACACTAGTCACAATTTAGAAATCCCAATGCATTTGGCAAATTAGATTTATCTTCTTACAGAAAAAGAATTGTCTTAGATATGTAATAATTGTGAGCGGTAAATTTCACCTAGTAACAACGAAAATCCTAGTACATATAACACAAAAAGCATGATGTTACTGTAGATGTAGCTCACATTTTAGGCGTGTAAAATGTCTCAGCCTAGCAATTCAAAAATGCTGTTCTTAACCTCCAACTATACAATGAACTATCAACCGAGTCATTTACCCACAAAACTGTGTCATACATCCGATAAAATGAAAAACATTCTAGTGATCTAAAATAAAATACGTCAAAGAGTCATTTCTACCCCCATTAACCATTACATTCATCCAGGTGAAACAAGTATAATGCACAATAAGCTAGATTACTTGCAATCTGTTTATTTGACCCACAAACCAAACTATCTCCTAATCTAATCACAAATGCTGCCTAGCCAAGGTTTCGTTTTACTAGGTTTAGTATAGAATGATTCGACCCTCTGGATCAATACTCTGATTCTCGAATTTGTAAGTCTTAAGCCTTTAGTATAAGCATAATGACATGGTACGTTAGGAAACATTTTTAAAACAAGGAACTAATAATCTTCAACATATTTATATCTGGCTTGATACTTTGATCCCAAAGACAAAATAAATTCAATTCCAACTCCAGCTTCTCAAACAAAGAAACCACATGAAAGCCTCTTCTAATTCCATATCGATTAAAATTAAAGATTCAAGTATTTAAGATCTATAAAATAGTACCTTCCAAATAATCACAGTCCAACTTAGTCTCAAGAAAAAAGAAAACGGAAACTGGTTACTTCGAAATAAAGCTTATGCAAGGCAGAGATTAAATAATTTACTATCACTAATGCATCATTCTTTACAAAGATAAAATGGAAGTTAGAAGGAAAAATGAAAAATAGACTCATCATAGGGACACTTCTTTACAAAGATAAATTGAAAGACCTCCAAGGCTCCAACCATTCACATTAACAGGCTAGGCTAAACCATGAGCAACAGAGGCATGCAGCATATGCTCGATGCTATGTTTTTCAATGGATGAAGCACTAGTCAGAAACTTCAATCTAGACGAAAATTATAAATAAGAGATTAAAACCATCTTCCCAACTGAAAACAGAAAAAACAACAGCGATATCAGACAACCAACCCATCCAGAACCTACACAATTATGCCCCTTCGAGACCTAAAATTCAACATGCCATTGAACAAAACTAAGCAAAGAATTGCACAAATAAAATTGTTACTATCAATCAAATCTCAGAATAAATCTTCACAGGCTTCAAATAAAAAATCCATGCGCACAGACCAAGTGCAAAGAAGAACACCTTGAGCTGAAATGATCTCCTTTTCAACCTTGGCATTCTTTTGCACGAAGTGCTCCCGCTTCTTCTTCGATCTCTTGCAGTCTCCATTTTCACGCCCTCCGACTCCTACAGTTCGTTCGAGAATAAACCGCGATTAGCAGCTACAACGTTAGGTAGTTTTTTCAGCCATTTGTAATCGAGTAACCAACACCAACACTTTTCACAAGAACAAAAATATGCAGCAGTTCGAATCCAGTTCAAAATTGCAGAAAGTAATCAATTTGACAAGTAATTAAACTTCTGCTAAACTCTCTTCACCACTTAGTTTCTTTGCAATTCAGGCAAACTCAGGTACATATCATTACACTGCACAACAGAGATACACGCAAACCTTAGCCTTGGCGTCGGCCGCCTCTTCCTCGGGTAAATCGCCGCCATAGGCGTCCCCATCGTGCTTGTACTGGCCCTGATGCTCCATCGCTTCCCTCGTTTCGCTACTGTCCACACCAGACACCCGTGGAACAGTATTGTCATGCAATGAGCACACAATCGCGAAGTTCGGTAAGCGGTTGCGGTCACTTTAATTGGATTCTGGGGCTGGATTGGTGGAAAAGGGAATCAAATTTCGCCGCCATCGCTCTTATGGTTGTCCTCTCGTCCTCGACTTTTCTCTCACCCAGCTTCGGGCTTCAGTTTCAATCAATTTCGTTCATCTGTTTGTACGTTTCGATTCGACCCGACCCGACCCGACCAATTTTGAACCGATCCGATTCTTTTTCTTTTTCTTTTATTTTCTTTTTATTTTTTTAACCACACGCGCGCACATATGTATCCGACTAAATTTTTCTCAATTCAAATACACACGCATTAATTTAGGATCGAATTCAAAATTTAACCATCAAACGAGTGTTTGCTTATGAGGTTTTGAATTTTGATTTTGAATAGTAAAATTTTTGAATTGAAATAATTGTTTGAGGTAATATTGTGAATATAAAATTAAATTTTAATGTAATAAAATAAATAAAAATTGAGTGTTTAATTTGACACTTTTTTTAGTAAAAATAATATAAAATAGTAAAATGACGATTAAAATCTTACAATAAACAGAGCCAAACTGTTTATAAAAAATTGATCCACCATACTAGTTCCATTTGTATATTTTCTTACAGCAACCACATAGTAACATGACAAAAAAAACCCTCAATATTAAAATTTTTCAAGCTGTTTTGTTTGGAATAGAAGGATTGTAAAATGGAAGTGCACAATAATTTTACTATCTATTAACAAGATATTTTTTATTTATTAAAAAATAGAGGAAACCCATTTTTCATTTTTCCCGGGAAATTTTTTTGCATCCATAATTACACACCACAAACTACCCTCCATGCTTGATTTAGAATCGGAAGTAACAATTACTAACAATCACCGCACTGCTTTTCAAGCTTTCCCACGCGGATGAAATCTCTTATCTCATCTTCAACCGAAGGTCCTTTGAACGACAATATCATCAATTGCATTAGTTCGGAGATCAACCCCAGTTTTGTGTACAATAGCACAAAAAACTTGAAAATTTCCAAATTCTACCACGGAAAGCGCTTTGTCCGATGTATAAATATGCTGTTGAATATTGTCCTACATTAGTTAATATGTAGGAACTCCCCTACTATATATATATATATATATATATATAAGGATGAAGGTCACTCCACCTATCATTAATTGATTTTATATTGGAAGCTCGAATCCCTTCTTAACATGCTATCAGAGCTATGGTGCCCGTATTGTGTGTTGATCCGATATGACCTTTCGAAATTATTATCTCGAGGGGAGAGTGTTGAATATTGTCCCACATTGGTTAATATGTGAGAACTCTTCTACTATATAAGGGTGAAGTGCTACTCCAACTATCACCAATTGGAAGCCCGGGTCCCTTCTTAACACATGCCCTATATAATATATGCCCTATATTAATATATGTAAATTCTTTCAATCCTTGTTTATAGTAGTATGTGAAGAATAAACCATTTGGATGTAAGGTTGGAGAACAACAACAATAAATATCTTTTAGCTTTTCATATTCATGGCACAAAACACCATATAGCACTTATATATGAAAGTTCTAATCCAAGTTTTCCAAAAATTTAATGACACTCCAACCAATATATAACCATAGATACAAAATGCGAAGATCACTTAGCTTAAGCTCCAAGATCCCTAAATTTTCAAATCAAACACTACTATAAATAAAAGAATTCAGGAAACTTATCAGAGAGAAGAGGACATGAGACAACCTTTGCTGGAAAAATATCAAGTTTGATAAAGGTTGGAGAAGGCTTTGTTAGAGGTAGGCCGGGGGTTGCCGTGGTGTAATATCCCCGGAGTTGAGCCGGTGCTAGGCTAACTCCCGTGGATGAGCGGGTGCCAGACCATCCGAGGTTGATTAGAGGTTAAATGGATTTAATAGACTACTCATGTCAACAATATGCATATTCCTTATCGGGAGCCTTATTGAAAGAACTCTAGAGTTAAGCGTGCTTGCCCGAGAGTAATTTGAGGATTGATGATCCTCTGAGAAGTCTTCCAGAATGCATATGAGTGAAACAGAAGCGCGCTCAAAAGACTTGTGTTAATCTATGGGGCAAGCCGGGGTATCACAGGTGGAAGGAGAAGAAGAGAGGATAGCGGGTGAGTAGAGATAGAAGATTTTGGCGATGATAGCCGTTGAGGAGTTATGTTTTCGATGGGTAGGGAAAAAGTGTCTAAAAGTAAGGAAAATGCCTCTACAAGGAGACCATTGCTATTGCTCTTAAGTTGTATCCAAAGGCCATGGCAGCCCCAATTGCTCACAATTTTCACTCAATTGTCCACTCAAGGTTTAAATGTTGAAGCCTTTTTTTTTTTTTTTTTTTATTTATCAAAATAAAGGATTAAAACAAGATAGGAACAATTCAAACCAATTGGAAATATCACTTCTGAGCCGAGGATTGCTAAACAACACTTTAGAAAGTTTCAAAACAGAAGTAGTTAGCATGATGTAGCCACATCAAACTCATAACAAAGATATACTGAGCAGAAACCAACAAATTATAGTAAATCAAAATGAAAGTTCAATAGAGGATTTAAAAAGGATGATAATTGTGTCTGCTAAACCTGAGACATTATAAGAACCTATTTGCTATGAATGTGGTGGAGTTGGATACATTAAATCTTAATGTGCAATAGTGAATAAAAGGTAGAAAAGAGTTTATCAAGCCACTTCAAGTGATAACGAAGATGAAGGCTCTTTTGAAGCTAGAGAAAAATTCTAAAAATGAGAATTTTATAGTTTTCATGGCTGACAATGATAAATCCAGTAAAGGTGATGATGGGTCTACTTCTAAAGCTCTTAAGGAATTCATAGAACTTGATGCTGACAAATTGTTTAAAACTTATGAAGAAATGATTGTTGAACCAAAAAAAATGTGGTGAAATTCGTACTAGGTCACAATTCTTTCCATTGAAAAACCATTTGAAAATCACAAATCATTTGATTTCTATGAATCTTCTTAAAGATAAACTAACAATATTTGTCTGTGGTGATATCGTTACTAAGGTCAAAATTTCAAAAAAGAAACAAGTTCCAGTTGTTAAACATAATTTGAAGAAAAACAAAAACAAAATTTGAAATAAAAATTATAGAAGAACATAGGATATTACACCGTTGTCATTATGAAAGAATGACTAGAAATATTGTACACATCCAGGATATACAACAACAAATGTCTTAAGTTGGCGAAAAATGTGATGAATGGGAAAATATTTAGTGGCCTATTGAAGGTCTAAAAAAATATCAAGGTCAAATTAGTGTGCCATAGGAAAATCAGAAAACCGATATTTTTATGAAAGCGTTGGATGCGGATTGATTGGAGGCAAACAAATAGAGGAATATTTATAGAATATTAACCGAAAACTCGCCGTAAAAAATTTCCCAAAAAATGAGAGAAGTAGAGAGGGAGAGGAGGTTGAGGTGTGATACGAAGAGGAGGTGAAGATGACCTTTTATAGACACCTACAGTTCTCCACCCTTAAGGGCTTAATTACCCGAGTCCAAACCGCCACTAGTCCTTCGGCCATTAACTTTGGTAACTGCCAGCGGTAAATTCCGGAAACCGCTAATTATATATTCGAAAATTTATTTAAGCCATAAACAATGATATTAAAATTTTTGAATTTTGCACACAAAATTCAAAATTTATGCATGCATATACCGATATCCTATATTATATTAAAATGCATGCATAATTTAGAGTTTGTTCTTCTACTATTTTAAATAAAAATCAACACTATTTATGCTACATAATTTTTAATAAAAATACACTAGTTTTTGCGCAATATCACATCAAAATACCATCAACAGAATTTCTAATTAACACCTTATTTCAAATCAATTTCAAATTACAATTTTCATTTGCTAGAATAAAAATTAGATAATAAGTTTTAATATTAATATAATTTTTTTTCCTTAATTTCAATAAAAATATTGTGAATATAATTTTTAATATTATATTTTCAATATATATATATATATTTACACAACTTGCCATTTTGATCGTTAAATTTTAGTACTAAATTTATTAACTAGAAGAACATACTCAAGAATATAATTAAATACAATTAATAGTCCTTTGATTATATCAAATCCAGATAAAATCATGCATGGATCTGCATCCGACGGGAGGATGGATTCATGACATTATATTTGCATTAATTCCGGCCGGGGAGTCGTAATTATTCAAACAATCATCGTTTAATTAATTGATTGATCGATCTTGGAACAGCACACAGAAACAAACAAACAAACTGCTAATTAAGATACATCACTCGTCGGAGGAAGCAGCCACTTCTCAGCCTCGACGTACGGAAAGTTGGCAAAGTTGCCGACCTCCCCTGGGGGCAGCACTCCAACACCCGGCCCACGTCTACCATGATTTGCGCCGGGTCCTCGGTTTTGCCTTTCCGCAAAATATGCATTGCTGCATCATATATAAATATAGTTTGCCGTCACCACAGATTCAGTTTAAGGGTGTGTTTGTTCAAAGGATTCTCTAAAATTTCCACTATTCATCAATTTTTTTTCCTAAAAATATCAAATCTAATACCTATTTTTTATTTTTTTTATATTATACTAAAAATTAATTTTACATTCAAAATATCGTATCAACACCTATTTATATCACATCATACAACTATTTCAATTCAAAATTTTTACTATTCAAATCTCAATTCAAAATACAAACCTCCAGACAAACACACCCTAATTGAAACCGTACATTTAATAATATACAAAAACAAAAATTATTGCATTAAATCATTATCGAAAGAATCGGTTGGAAGAATTTGAATCAGATGTATTTCTAATGATTCCACCGGATCTAGGATGAATTTCAAAATTTTAGAGTTAGATGTAAGTTCCAAATTTGTTCTACCTAATATTAACATCTATGTACGATTACTATTTTTATGAAGATCACACTACTGTTGTTAAATGATGTAATTGACTGACATACTTAAAAATTTAAGCTATTAAGATACGCATAATTTATTTATCAATAAACGGGAATCAACCAAGTTAAGTGATTTTAAACCTACAAAATTTGAATGATATAATCAACTCTAGACTACTAATAAAGGGCACACTTATATAAATTAAAATAAATACTACCTCCGTCCCATAAAATCGGTAATATTTATTTTTTGTACGTACATTTTTTAATATTAGTATTATATTGGTTTATAGTAAAAATGACAAAAAATGCCCTTATTAGTTTGTGTGATATATAAGTAATGAATTTGTGTAATATACTAAAAGTTGTTGTAAGGGTATTAATTATGCTTATAAGTAAGTAATACAATTACCAAATTAGGAAATAATACCCTTATTTTGGGATGGACAAAACTGAAAATAGTATCCTTCTTATGGGACGGAAAGAGTATTCGAAGTACAATAAAAACATACTAAAAATTATAATGAATCTCGTAAATAAGTTTATGTTGTACTGATTTTTTTTTTTTTTTTTTTGCCTCTGCTCATCAAATTTTAAGATCCCTTGACTGTCTATACATATAATAATTGTTTAGTATATTCTATTAGTTACTTTTAGATGTGAAAATCAGTTAGATAACCATTTAATCTATATTAAGTCATTAGACTAATGTCGTGTGACATTGTTAATATAATGGTGGCTACACACATAAATTAATTATGATTAAACAGTGATTTAATATATTAATGATAATACGAAAAAATACTAACCTGTCGATAGACAGAGTTGGTTTATTGTTATACCATCCGGCGGGATTGATAACGCTGTCCATCTCAGAGTATAAAAAAATAATCCGAGCATAGTCGAACCACGGCCTTCCTAGGTATGCATTTCCTTTCCCGGTGCCGGTCACCGAACAAAGTAGGAAAACAAACCCGCTAGGGTCATCCGACGTATTCCTTCCATGCGCCGCAACAAACGCCTCTCCATCTCCAATAACATGGAGTTCAGTTCTCTACACAAAATATATAAGACACGGTTTATATAGAAGTTTTGAAAGATTTTAAAGTGCATCCTATCCCATGAATAGGATATCTATCTAGTGTGATGTATGAAATTAGAAATTTTTGAAATATATAATTTTTTTTTTTTTGAGTATTTGATGCAATATTTTGCGAATGGAAAGAAGATACTGCCCTCGTTGCCTCTAAGGATTACATTTATATTTGCATTATTATATTTAACATTAAAATTATCTTTATATTTGTATAATTTTTTGAATAAATGTCATTATATTAATATTATAAGATACTAGTAGAAATATTTTTTTTTCCATTTTCCCTTACTTTTGTACTACGTTTTAATATAACCAAAAAGTAGTTGTGACCCTTATAGTCGGACGGAGAGAGTATTTGATATGATATACTCCATCCGTTCACATAGAAAGTAAACATTTACTTTGACACAGTGTTTAAGAAATAATAGTATTTTAATTATAGTGGGCAGTTAAAAGTAGTGTAATAACATTTTTGCCCTTACTTTTTGGTGTAAAAGTAATGATGTGATGTAAAGTAAGGGTATTTGTAGAAAACAAAAAGTAAGGTATTTAATGAAATATTTATTTTGTAATTGGACGTCCCAAAATAGAAATATGTATACTTTCTAACTAGACGAAGAAAAACTATATATATTTAGAAAAAGTTAATATTGATGAATAGTACCAAAAGTTTTGAAAATGTCGATGTAACCAGAACCCTAAGTCCTTTAATTTTGATGAACATCATGTGATAATTTTTCATTTTTTGGATCGTTTTTAGGGAGAGGTAATCTTACCATGAAGATTGTTTGTCCGGTGCCAAATACGAAATCCACGGTGCCCTCGATGTAGCAATCTTTGTACAAATGTCTCCCATGGTCATCCATGAGTGTGTCTTGAAAGCCATAGAATTTGCAATTGTAGAAGGATGCGTAGTCTCCCGATATTCTCAACGCCAATGCCTGCTCATCGGGATTTCCATCTGGCTTCGGCGCCGAATTCTAATCAACAAGAGAGCACAATTTAAAAAAAAAAAAATGGAAAATCCATCGAAAAGAATTAAAACAGTCAGCAAAATAGAATAAAATGTTTCATGTGATCATGTAAAACACACATTATGAGAGTCTTGTTTTCTTATTTTAACACATGATTTTATTTTTTACTCATATTCAAATAAAATAATAATAATAAAACTGAAATATATATAGAAGTTCACTAAATAGAAGATAAAAGGGCTAATTATGTTATATATTAGTGTGTTTGTTTCGTGAGATTGATGAAAATGAATTTTTTACGTGAAATATGAGAAATTGTGTAAAAAATATAAAAATAATGAATGTACGTAAGTTTATTAATTTTTTTGAAAAAAAAAAAAATCTAAAAAGAACAAAGCCATCTCTGCATATTATTAAAAAATCATTATTTTCTTTTCTAAAATTTAATTGATAGGTTACAAATCAGAAATGGTTTGTATGTTTTTATTTTATACTGTTTTTTGTTTTAAAATTTGAGATGTTTTTATTTTGTTGACTTATATTTTTTTTAAAAAAATTAGTTGGTGTTCTGCAAAAATGGCCTGGTGGTGTGGGGGTTGGAACTGTGATGGTGAAATCATGGGTTAAATATTTTTTCTCAAAAATATTTTTCAATTGCAATTTCCTAAAATTTATAAAAAAAAATACAATGTTTTATATAAAAGTCAAAAAGTCAAAAGTTAAATATTTAACCTAAAATAATATATTTTGTATTTTTAACACAATTTTTTATACTATACATAAAAAAATCATTTCATCCAAAAATATTGCGGAGCCATTTTGTTTTTAAAAATGATAGAGAATATTAAATAATGTTCTCTCTTTTATGACAAATAAGAGTATAATGTAATGGGCAATATATATATATATTTCTGAAGCTGCTATTTTTCAAATATATTTTGAATAAATTTTCGACTTAATCTAATAGCACGAGTTCACCCATACTAGCTACTAGGTCATTTCTTAGCGAACAATGTATATATAGACTTCTGAATGCGCTAGTTCGAATACGCTCTCAATAAATTTTCGATTGAATCTAATAGGACGAGTTCACCCAAACTACTAGATCATTTTTTACCAGAAAATATATATATGTCTCCTTATAATTTCGTAAAAATGACAAAACTTAAAAAAAAAAATATGTATATGAAAACGTACCTTAAACTTCATATTCACGGCGCTAAAGTGATTGGCAAGGACCATCACAGTGCCGCTGTAGACGGTCCCATGGGCCGACCTTGCCGTCTCATTGTACACAATCATCGGCATATCCTTAGGGTCGCCGTACAACGTCACAAAGGGCTTCTCCTTGTAGATGGTCACCTTCTCCACATAAGTCCCCGGCCCGACCGCCACAATTATCCGGTCCTTATTCCCATCCGGAATGCTATTTATGGCATCCTTTATTGACCTGAACTGACCCTTGCCGTCTTGTCGCACAGTGATCACCTTGCGGCTTGTTTCAGCGGCCACCAATTCCGGCAACAGCTGTTTTTTACGTGACTCAAAAGTGCCGACAAATTTATTGAACCACGTGTCGAGTTTGCTGCCTTCGTTCGGAACTTTTGGCTCGACGGCCGGAATAAGGAATGCCGCCGCCATGATCGGAAAAAGGATGTAAGGGAGGCCGCCGGCAGTCGCCATTTTTATTTTTATTTTTATTTTTATTATTACTATTGTTATTCTATTTTAATTTTTTTTGTATGTATTGAGTTTGAGTGAGATTTGGGAGTGGCTAGTGTATTTATAGAAGAAATTGGAATAATTTGTTGAGGGTGGAGTTGCATGGAGTAAATAATATTGGTAAGTGTCTTGAATTTATTGTTGTATTGAATGTTTTGGTTTAATTAATGTATTGAATGCACCATGTAATATAAATTCTTTTGTTTGGCTTTCAAGAGTTTTTATTAAGATTTTGATTTAAATAGTATTTTATGATTAAAAAAAAAAAAGTATTTTTTGTAATATTGTGTAAAATTTAAAGATATTTTTTTTATTAAAACAAAAATTATAATTACTAAAAAAAGAAAATAAATACACCGAGAGTGGACATACTAAAATGTCTGAGCAAAGTGGGGGTTTGGAAATAGTTTTCAAACTCGTTATAGACGTGCACGCCGGTTAGAACCTCATTAGTTGCATCATTGCCCCGGACGCAAAGATAAACCAATCGAAACATAGTAAATAGTTTGTTAGAGTAGTAAATTACGGATTAGGCTCCGTTTGGATGGTTTCTGGAAAATACTTTTGATTTTCACTTTTAAAAAAATGTATTTATTTTTGTTTGTATTAACTTTTACTCAAAAGTACAAAAGGAGAAGCAAATTTTCGGTCTAAAAATATGTTTTTTAGAAGCATCTTAAGAGGTGCTTCTAAATAAAAAAAATATTTTACAATCTAAATTACTAATTTATCCATAATAATAATAATAATACTAATAAATTAAATATATAAGATAAAATAAAAATAATTAATTTATATATCATATTTAAATTAAAACTTAAAAGATATAATTGAAACATCAATGGTTTGTTTATTTTGTGAAATCAAACCAATCTATATTTTTTCAAAAATATTAATATATTGTATTATACACACTTATTATTTTTATATTTCCTCCGTAACTCCTTGTGGTTCATATTAAAAATGTTTCTTCAAACCATTCACAAAACAATCAAACCCAATTCCAAAAAAAATGAATTTTTATATAGTAGATAATTTAATATTTTTAAATATAATTTATAAAGTTTTAAAAATATTTGTAGAGTAAAATTTATTTAAGGTTAATTATATTTTTAATTTTTAATTTTGTAATTAAATTAAATTAAAAAAATATATTTTATACATAAAATTTAATAAATATATCTTCAATTAAGTTAGATAATTTCACATTTTTAATAAAAATTTAATAAAAAAATATATTTATATCACTATAGTCTACTTGATAATTTGAGAATTTAAAAATATTTTACATATTTAATTTTTTTTTATAAAAATATGCTTATATAATTGATTCATTCAAATATAAAATTGAACTGCTCTCATTAGATTTTAATTTATTTGTTAAGTCAATTCAAATAGGTACTTAGGCTGCAATGGTGAATAATAATAGTAATCATAATATACTATTAAGGCGTGTTTGTTTGTAGATTATCCAAAAATTTATTATTCATCAAATTTTATTTTTTAAAAACATCAAATCAAACACATATTTTCATTTTGTATGTTATATTAAAAATCAATTTTATATTCAAAACATTACATTAATATATATTTATATATATCATATCATACAACCATTCAAATTCAAAATTTTTACTATTCAAATCTAAACCCCAATCAAACGCACCCTAATAATAAGAATTCGGAATATACTTTTTTCAAAAAAAATAAAAAAAATTGTCGTTTTTTACAACAACCAATTTAATTTTGTAGGTAAATAAAAAGAAATAAAAATAATAAAAAAACAAAACAATAATTACATGGGATAAATGTAAAGCAACTGTATAATTTAGGTATTATTTTACCTTAATATGGGATGAACATTATTGTTTCTCATACCTCAGCCATTTAATAATTGTGATATATGTCTAATAAATACATGCAGTTTGTTGCAACATAATTACAGTTGCAATCAAATAAGTTTTTTTTTTTGGTAGAATATCTCTTTTATTCGGGTAAAAAAAATAGGCTGTTTTAATTTGAGATTGTAATTTTGAGTGGTTTTTTAGAATGCGATACAGAGAATTGCGTCAAATTTTTTTTTAAAAAAATACTCTCTCCGTCCCAAATACCGTGTCTGCTGCACGGTATTTTAGGAGGGGTGTAATTAGTAGATAATTAAGAATGTATTAGTGAAAGTAATTATCCTATAATATAAATAATTATAAATTAAGATTAAGATAACTAATTAGTTTAATTAAAATTAAAAAAATAAAATTAAAAAATTTAAAATGAGATTAAAGTGTGTAATCATTTTCCAAAAAAAAAAAAGTGATATGATATGTGGGACGGACAGAAACGGCAACGTGGACATGGTATCTGGGGGGGACGGAGGGAGTATTTAAATTAAGTATTTGACTTTTTGTATCAAGTAGTTGATATTTTTTTTTTTTAAAGTTTTTGTATGGTGTTGAATTGTTAATTTAAGTTGAATATTTGACTTTTGGATTGAATCGATCGTTTTTTTTTTTTCCTTTGATATGATGTTGAATTTTTTAATTTTATAGGCGTGTTTAAATTTTGAATTTATTTATGTTAAATAACAGGTTGTTGAAGGTACAATTTTATCATATTACACCAATATGGTCCAATAGAAATATAACTATAGTGAATTTTTCACAAGAATTTTGGTATTTTTGAACAATACCTCGTACATAAGAAATTATACGAGTTAGTCTCGTAAAGAATGGTCTTCTAGTGTGAGGGGACTCGTAAGAAATTATTTTTCAAATCTCCAACGCCTCCAAATCTTGTATATTATACATGGTTCGTGTAGTGTGACTTGCCTTGTCGAGTCTAGTTTATAGCTATCAGGCTCGGCTGGAAATTTACCCAGAACGCACTCGAAAAATAACGGTTGCGGATTCCTACGTCATAAAATATATATATACATATATACGAGTTATAGTAGAGGGGAAAAATCCAATAACCCCAAATTATTAATACTGAATCAAAACTAGAATTAATTTAAAATTAAAGCTAGAAGGCAAATTGGGAATATGAAATTATAAAATGCAAAACCAAACAGAGCGTTCTTGTATTCCCACGAAAAGTCTCAAGGTGATATATGTGGTTACAGTATGGTGTGAAGAATTGCCGTGGATTCATTTAAGCAACATCTACAATGTAGTATTTTTTTGTTTATAGTTATATTATTGTTAAGACCAACTTACATACATTATTATTATTGTTTTTTTTTTTTTTTTTTTTTTGATAATATGGAAACCTACAGTCGTTACCCGAAAGTGCGCACTGGTTAAAATTTACATACATATTTTAAATGTACGTGGTATTATGTGGCACCTTTTGGTAAAAATGGAAACGGGTGGTGGCCTGCCATTGTGTCCGATAACACATGAGCATCGTATATACTACCAAAGTACCAAACTAGACGTAGTTGAAGCACATGTCGAACTCAACAAATGCTAGACAATTTTGCACCATAGTCCCCTTCCTAGAAATGAAGGCCTATTTTGCCGTTTTAGAAACACATGTAGGAATCTATGTTGTTATAAAGTTTAGGTGAAAATAATGAAATTGTCTTTTTTATAATCAAAATAAATAATCAAAATAAAGAGTCTATATATAAACAATACAAAACAGATTCGATAGAGTAATCTAATATATGAATAAAATCAAATTTAAATATAAATTTACTAAATCTAAAGCTAAATATCTAAAATATCTCAACATATGTATTATGGATAGCCCCAACTGCAGCATGTGAGTCATGATAAGTTTGGAGAAAAAGAAAGCACTGGTTGAAGTTCTTATTGATGCGATTATATACACATCAAACCTGAAAAAGCAAGCTAAAAACTCGGATTTTTCCTTATGCGTGTGTGAGTATCTTGCGAGTTACTTGGATATGAAAATCGCCAATGACTCATTTGTGTGAATTCCTATCTAGAGCAATGTCTTCAACCACCCACAATCCTCGGGAAAATTGCAAAAAATATCACACATATATACCCCATTATACTTGTGTCATGTATTTATCTCGCTGACAAAATATATCCTACATGTTTGCAAAAGTCATTATTTCTATTTTTTGGCCGCGCGTGGTATTTAAATACTAACAACAATAGTTCAAATAAATAATAATAATTATAATAATATTCCCAAGTAAGATAATTTAAATCATAATATATCAATATAAATCGGAGGAAGACGTGACATTAATTGTTTTATCACTGTCACCTTGCTCAAGTGCTTGGTGTGCCCCAATTGGAACATTGTCATCCATGTTAGGCACCTGAGAAATTGACTAAAAAAAATGGGTTCTACAGTATTAAAGACGTCGTCACTAAATTGTAAATATGGGTTGTGTCTATATATGCACAACAAATTGAGATAGTGTCTTCACATATTTCTTCAACTACAATACACAATAAGAATGATCATCTAATTTGGTTAAATGTATATATATGATAACTAAAGTTACAAATACTTATGTTCTAAGGAAAAAAAAAAATACCTAATCAAGATTTTTGTGTTTCTTGCAAATTTTCTTGCGTAGAGCGAATCTCATTTAAGAATCTTGTTGCTCGTGAGGTGGGATAACGCTGTGTAAAATGTGAGAAAGATGCTTATAGCATTATACGAGCTATTTCACCATGCGAACGAGGATTTGACGCTCGCCTTTCTTTTTTTTATTTTTTTCCAAACCCCCCATACCCATTCACAAGTTCTTTTAGAGGCAAATTACTTTTGATACGTTGAGTTTTTATTAATTAGTGCAATTGTGTAAACAGTTTAGACATATTTATCTTTTAATTTTTTGTATAAAATAATTATATAATTAAAGATATATTTGTAATTTAAATAAAAATTAAAGATATTTTGATATTAGTCTATAATTATTTTTATTAAAATAAGAAATAAATACTTTTGAGTTGACATACAAAAATAATTAAAATAATATTTTGAGTTAATACGAAAAAAGTAATATACAATATATTTTCTAACAATATATGATATCTGACTTCAGCATAATTTAAATATATATATATATCACAGTATAATCAAAATATTCTTCTGTATATCAAAATAACCGTAATTGATTTATCACGGCAATAATATATATATATGTATAATAACACATAGACATCAACTTGCCATTATCATCATAAAAATTTTAGTACTAACTTCATTAACAAAAATAACATACTCTAGAATTAAATTAAATACAATTCATACTCCCTTAATTATATCGAATACAGATAAAAAAATCCTACATGAATCTGCAACTGCAACAATCCGACTGTGAGGAATAATTCATGATATTTGCGATTAATCTGGGTAGCCTTAATTATTCAAGACTTGATGCAAACAACTACCAAATATGAACAATCATCGTTTAATTCATTAATTAATTAGCTAAGCTTAATTAGAACAGCACACATAAACAATCAAACCAACTGCTAATTAAGCTACATCACTCGTCGGAGGAAGCAGCCATTTCTCAGCCTCGACGTATGGAAAGTTCGCAAATTGGTCGACAGCCCACGGAGGCAGCACTTGAACGCCCGGCGCGCGTCTACCATTATTAGCGCCGGGTCCTCGGTTTTGCCTTTCCGCAAAATATGCATTGCTGCATCACATAAATATTGTTTGCCGTCACCATGGATTCAATTTAATTGAAATTGTACATTAATAATATGCAAAACACAAATTTTTTTTTTTCGTTAAATTATTTTCGAAAGAATTTGAATTAGAGGTATTTCAAATGATTCCATCAAATCTATTTAATATCAAACAATGAATTTCAAAATTTTAGAGTTAGGCGTAATTTACAAATTTATTCTACTTAATTTTTTAAATACTGGGTGTGTTTGTCATTACAAGAAAAAAATCATTTTTGGAATAAAATATTTTTGTTTCTAAATCTATTTTTTCCATTAGAGACGGAATTATGAATGGAATTACGTTAGCTAGCTACGTGAACTTTAGGGACGAAATTCTGTTACAAATATATTATTTTTTTGTAGTTGTTTTGTGAGACTGTTGAAAAAAAAAATTATGTAAGGTATAGGGAATCGTAGAAAATATAAAGATAATGAATGTGTGCAGTGAATTAATATTTTTGAAAAATATGAAAGAAAAAAAAAATTAGAAAAAACAAAACCTGTAGCATTTTAGCTACTTTTTAATATCAAACAACATATTTTAATTATAAAACACTTCGAATTCAAAATAATTATAATCTATTTATTTAAAATTCGCCATCAAATTCAAATTCATCTAACCAAACCAATTCTAATTAAAATTGAGCTTAGGTATTTTTTAAATAAAAATAAATATTAGAATTACAATTAAAAAAAAATACTAAACATTATAATGAACCATGTAAATTAGTTTATGTTGTATTGATTTTTAATTTTTTTTAATAAAAACTTATTTATATTGACTTAGTTTTCTTTTAAATAATAATATTACCGTATTTATACATAAAAATACGATATAGTTTATTATTTTAATTAATTATTTATTTATCTATATATTGGTTAGGATAATCTTTTCGCTACTTTTACAAGTGAAAATTAGTAAGATACTTATTAATCTTAGGTTATTAAATCTCTTGTGACATTATTAATATATACGATGGTCATACTAATAGCACAATAATATATGCCACACAATACATTAAAATATTTTACAAAAACTCAGATAATATATGTTTAAATATTTTACGAAAATTCTGAAATTACAATGTTTTGATCATCAAAATAAAAGTCTATATATAGACACCATCAACCTGACTCCATAGACTTTAAACAAAATAATTCAGTCTATGATAAAATCAAATCGTAATCTAAACTTATCAAATTTAAAATTAACCAATAGAAACTAACATAAACAAATGCTAAACTAAATCTAAATTTAAAATATCTCAACAACATACATAAAATAAAATTGATAGCACATACTTACGTTATATAAAAATATATATATATATATATAAAATATAGTATTTTCATAATCTGATCGAATCATTTAATATATTAATGATAATACGGTTAATACTAACCTGTTAATAGCCAATGTTGGCTGATTGTTATACCATCCGGCGGGATTGATAACTCTCCCTAACCCAGAGTATAAAAAGATAACCCGAGCATAGTTGAACCACGGCCTTCCTAGGTATGCATTTCCTTTCCCTTTTCCGGTCACCGGACATTGCAAGAAAACAAACCCGCTAGGGTCATCGGGACTATTCCTTCCATGCGCCGTTACAAACGCCTCTCCGTCTCCAATAACATGGAGTTCAGTTTTCTATAAACGATATATAAGACTATGTTTATATAGAAGTTTTGGAAGGTTTAAATTTTTTTTTTGATAATATTAAAAAATTAAATATTTGATGCGATGTTTTGTAGAAAAAAAATATATACTTGTTTGATATTTAAAATTATAATACTCCCTCCGTCTGTCATATTTAGCCAATTTGGGCTCAAGAATTTTTTTAAAAAAATAAATATTTGAAAAAGTAAAAAGATAATTTGGGGTATTTTTAATAATTTAGTTAGTAATTGAAAAGTATAAAAATGGACAATATAATAATGTTAGTGACATTTATAATAAATAAATTATGAATAGAAAATAATAATTAATTATAGACTTTTTGACCTTTTTTAATATAGTAATTGAGAAAATTTAACTAATGAACAAAAAAAGAAAAGTATAAATAAATTTGGCAGAAGAAAAAATAATAATATTGATGAAAATTAATAATTAATTATAGATTTTTTGACCTTTTCAATTATAGTAATTGAGTAAATTTAACAAATAAAGGCGAAAAATAAAAAATAAAACATAGAAATAAATTTGACAGACGAAATGAGTAATAATATTGATGAATATTACCTCAACTTTTGAAAATTTTGAAGACTATGCAACCAAACCCTAAGTCATTTAATTCCGATGAACATTATGTAATAATCTTTCATTTTTTTGGTCGTTTTAGGAAGAGGCAGTCTTACCATAAATAAGGTTTGTCCGGTGCCAAATACGAAATCCACGGTGCCCTCGATGTAGCAATCTTTGTACAAATGTTTCCCGGTGTCATCCATGAGTGTGTCTTGAAAGCCATAGAATCGGCAATTGTAGAAGGATGCGTAGTCTCCTGATATTCTCATTGCCAATGCCTGCTGATCGGGCTTTCCATCCGGCTGCGGCGCCGAATTCTAATCAACAAGAGAGCACAATTAAAAGAGAAAAGGAAAAAAAATAAAATCCATCACTTGGTAAATGTAGAAAGAATTAAAACAATGAACAAAATAGAATAAAAAGTTTCTTGTGATCCTTTAGAAACAAACATAGAGAGTCTTGTTTACTTACTAGAACACATGAATATAAATTTTTTTTCAATTATATTGAAATAAATAGTAATATAGGAGACAGCATTGGAGATAATAATAATAATAATAGTAAATATTTAGAAGTTCAATAAATATAAGACAAAATGGTAAATTATGTTATGCATATTCTCTGCATATTATTCAAAAATTGTTATTTTGTTTTCTAAATTGAATAGAGAGGTTCCAAAACACAAATGGTATGTTTGTGGTTTTAACACTACAAAAAATAAATAATATATTTGTAACGAAATTTCGTCCATAAAGTTCACGTAACTAACGTAATTCCATTCCTAATATCATTAGTAACGGAAAAAGTAGATTTAGAGACAAAAATATTTTGTTACAAAAATAATTTTTCTTGTAGTGTAAGGTTTTATATATATATATTTTTTTATATATTTGAAATAGCTGGTTGTTAGGATATTTTTATCAAAAATGACAAGAACATAAAAAAGAATTTTAATGAAAAACGTAAAAAAAAAAAAAAAAAACAAAAACAAAAAACAAAAAAAAAAAAAAAAAAAACAAAAGTGGTGCACAGTTTGAATTACATGGAAAAATATCTTTCCAAAAAATAAAATTAAACAACACTATAAAGTAATGGCAAAAAAAAGGAAAAAGAAATCTTATAATGTAGTAAAAAGGTTTCAAAATAAGTGAATAAAATCTTTTAATTATAGAAAGGATTAAGTGCATATGTTTACTATGAATGTAGTTTTTATGGTATATATGTAAAAGCATATTAGTAATACGAAAAATAATATTTTATATTAAATTTTTATTTATTTATTTATTTTAAATATATAGAACATATATATTATATTTTTAACAATATTAATATAAAAATATTTAGATTTTGTTTTCTTTTTTTTTTTTTTTTGAATAAAAACACCACTAATATTTCATAAGAAGTTATGCTCCGAAAATGCTTTAGAAATTTTTTAATTTTGAAAAAGAAAATTAAAATAGTAAAAAATCTTAAGTATCGCAAATAATTTGAAACTTGAGACGAAAAATTAAACAGGAAAAAAAGTACCTTAATATGCATATTCACAGCGTTAAAGTGGTCGGCGTAGACCGACAAAGTGCCGCTGTAGACGGACCCTTTGGCCGTCTTCGCCGTGTCATTATACACAAGGGTCGGCATTTTCTTGGGGTCGCCGTATAGCGTCACAAAGGGCTTCTCCTTACTTATGGTCACCTTCTCCACATAAGTCCCCGGCCCAACCGCCACAATTATCCGGTCTTTATTCCCGTCCGGAATGCTATTTATGGCATCCTTTATTGATCTGAACTGCGCCTTGCCGTGCTTCCGCACACTGATCACTTTGCGGTTCGTTTCCGCAGCCACCAGCTCCGGCAGCAGCTGATTTTTCCGCGACTCAAAAGTGCCGACAAATTTATTGAACCACATGTCGAGTTTGCTGCCTTCGTTCGGAACTTTCAGCTCGACCGCCGGAATAAGAAATGTCGCCATGATCACCGGAAAAAGGATGTAAGGCAGGCCGCCGGCGGTCGCCATTTTTTCTTTTTATTATTATTATTATTATTATTATTATTATTACTATTATTACTTTTAAATTTTGATTATTAGTATTGTTATTATTTAATTTTGGATTAAATAAATTTGGGTAAGATTTGGGAGTGGCTACTGTATTTATAGAAGAAATTTGAATAATTTGTTGTTAGGTGGATTTGCATGGAGAGTAAACATTTTTGGAAAGTATTATGATTTAATTATTATATTGAATACAAAGGTCTTAAATAGTTTGTTGAGCAGCAAATTAGGAATTATAATAATAGTAATGATTGTAATTATAATATACTAAAAATAATAAATTTAGAATATGCTTTTTTTTTTTTTTTTTTTTCCTTTTTTTTTCAACCAAGTAATTCAATTCTGTAGGTAAATAAATAAATGATGATAATAATATGGGATAAATGTAGATAAAGTTTGTAATAGATCTTAATATGGTATAAACATTATGGCTCCATTTAGACAATAGGTTTGGAATAAATTTTGGTTTGGACAATTTTGAATTTAAATTATTTGAGATAGTTTTTCTTATTATAAATATTTTCTTCGTTTTTTTATGCAAATAACCTTCTATTAGTATTATAAGACACTAATAGAAGTATTTTTATAATTTTGTTTTAATTTGTATTACGTTTTGATATAATACTTAATATTAAAAAATCAACACACAAAAAATAAATGAGACGAATATCGTATTATATAATAAATGATGTGATTGATGATATAGAATTAAAATATTGATTTAGTATTAGATAAAAAAAAAATGATTTAATCCTAATTTTATAAATATTTTAATACAAATATAATCTTTAGTTATATTTTATTTTATATAATTAAAAAATAAAACATATTAATTTTTTATTAATATAAAATTCTTTTAAAATATAGGGTATAAAATTATGTAATATTTTATTATTAAAAATATTATAGTTTTAGGTCCCATTAATTAATTTATTAGATTTGAGCGGGAATACCCCAAAATATTAGTGCCAAAATGAGTGCAAATGATCTATCTAAACAAAGCTTATCTGTTTTTCTCTTTTTTAAAATTAAAATTAATATTATTTACTGTATTTTTAATAAAAATAATATTTTCTTTTCAAAATATCACATAAAATAAAAATTTATATCAATATTCTATTTCAAATTAATTTTAAACCACAACTAAGCAAGCCCTATATTTTTCATACCCGGAGTCATTTAATAATTAGAATATATATTAAAATTATTTTTTAACAATTAAATTATTTAATTCATAAATATATAAATTTATAAAAATATTATTAACTTATTTTTAATATAATTTTTATCATATAATTTTTATATTAAAAATGAATAAAATCAAATCAAATTATGTAATATTATAATTTTAGTAAAAAAATATAAATATTTAACATAATATATACTCCCTCCGTCTCAATTATAAGTATCATGTTTACCATTTTCGTCTGTTCCATTCAAAAGTATCATTTTTCTATTTTAGTAATAATAAGTATATATTAATACCAAAATACCCTTAATTTTTACTTAAATTACAAATATATCAGTAACATACAATTACGTTATACATAAAATCAAATAGCAAGATTGTCAAAGTTTTTTACCACTCTCACTAATCAATAAAATACTATTATTATCTTACAAAACTCCAAAAATGTACATATATCTAGGATGAAGGAAGTATATTAAAATTACGTAAAAAAAAAATAATAAATAAGAAAATATAATGGTGTCAATTGTTATGAGACCTATAAAATGAAAAATGTGTTGATTTAAATGCGATGGAAAGAGTATATTTTTGTAGAAAATTATAAAATATTACTTCCTCCGTCCAATTTTTATTTTTTCTAAAGTATATTTGTACGGTTTTTTAGATGATTGTTTTTTTGTTATGAATCGACAATTGCCCTTAATTATATGGTAGAGATTAAAAGGAATAAATGAATAAAAGGCAAAAATATAAAATTTGTGTTTTAAAAAAAAAGGACAATACTTATTGGACATCCAAAATAGAAAAGTAGGACATTAGTTTGTGGACGGAGAGAGTATAAAACTTAAAAAGAAAAATCGAACAAAAAAAAATGAAGGTCTTCATCTTCTTCCATAAATTCATTTTTCATCACATATTATTTAATTTCAACTTGTACTCTTATTTTGTATTAAGAGATGATTAATTATTTTTCACATAAAAATTATTTTTCTGTCATATAGTATGATTATTTAAATCTTTATATTAAGAAAACATTAATAATATTCTAAATTAAAATCACTCAATGCTGCATACTATTTATGGTTGCAAGTGTGAAAAATTTCCGTATTCCTCTTATCCCACCAAAACATATTAGCGGGTTTTTTTTTTTTTTTTTTTTAATTATTATTATTATGGTTGTCTCGTCCAAAACACTAATTTTTATAAAAATAAAAATAGTAAACTATTTTTTTAATTCTGTGTCCCATTTATTATTTTAGTCTCGTAAGTGGAGTATGTCGCAAATTAGTCCCATAAGTGAAAAGTTTTTGTTGTTTTAATCCTCCGGCACCGGAGGCGCCCGCGTCGCTTGCCGGAAGCCACGTAGGTCAGCGACACCTGGCGGACACGTAAATTTTTTTTTTTCATTTTTTAAATTTTTTTTAATTGAATTAAAAAAAATAAAAAATACAAATAAAATTAAAAATAAGTTTTAAAAAAAATTTTAAAAAAATCCGCGTGTTCGTCAGGTTTCACTGACCTGGCGGACACGTAGCCTCCGGCGAGCCACGCGGGTGTCTCCGGTGCCAGAGGACTGAAACAACGAAAATTTTTCACTTATGAGACAAGTTTGCGACATGCTCTATTTATGGGACTAAAACGATAAAGGGGTCCAGTTATATGACTAATAATAAAACAGTTTACCTAAATAAAAATAAAAAATTTTCATTAACAATTATATTTTAATTAATTCAAATTAATCTTCTTAATTTTTTACTTATAATTATTTCAGCAATTTATTTTAATTAAATTTAATTCGAATAGACAAGAATGAATATGACTCGAAAATTCGGCATAAATGAAAAATCAGATTTATACTGGGCTAGATTGAGCTGGAATAATTAAAATTTTTATAATTTTTAAAAAATATATTTCATAATTAATAAATTCTGGTGTATTTATTATAACTTAATATGAATTAAATTCAATCCAACATTTACGATGTGAATAAATTTAGCATGATAATATAATAGTAATGATAATATAGTAAATATAATACTCCCTTCGTCCCATATACCGTCTGCTACACTGTAGACACGGTATTTTATGAGGGGTATAATTAGTAGATAATTAAGAATGTATTAGTGAAAATAATTATCCTATAATATAAATAATTATAAATTAAGATTAAGATAACTAATTAGTTTAATTAAAAAATTTTAAAAAAATAAAATTAAAAAGTTTAAAATGAGATTAAAGTGTATAATTATTTTCCAAAAAAGGAAAGTGACATGGTATGTGGGACGGACAGAAACGGCAACGTGGACATGGTATGGGGGCCGGAGGGAGTAATTCAGAATAGGCCTCTTTCTTATTGTTTTTTTTTTCAACCATGAATTTTATTTTTGAAAGTAATTTAATAATAATAATAATAATAATAATAATAATAATAATGTGGGATAAATGTAAATAAAATATTGTGTTTTAATATTTTTATTTGAGGTATGGAGAATTGTGTAGGTAATATAAAAATTAAAATGTGTGTAATATATTAATTTTTTTTAAAAAAATTGTAATATATTAATTTTTTTGAAAAAATATGTTAAAATTTTTTGCTAAAAGAACAAAGTCATAATTATTGTAGTAAATCTAAATGTGGTATAAACATTATGACCCCATTTAGACAATTGTTTTGAAATAAATTCTAATTTGGAAAGTTTTGAATTTGAATGATTTGAGATAGAGTTTTTATTATAAAAATTCTCATAATAAATGTGATTGATGATATATAATAATTTAATATTAGCTCTAAGTTCTCATTTACTTTTTGTACATTGATATTCGAATATTAACTATTATATCAAAACATAGTACAAATTTAAAAAAAAAAATTGCAAAACATATTTTTATTAGTATCTTGTAATACTAATAGAAGAATATTTGTACATAAAATTATACAAATATAAAGATATTTTTAATATCAAGTATAATGATACAAAAGATAAATGTAATCCTTAGAGGCGGACGGAGTGAATATTACATAAAAGAATAATTTAAATTTACTTTTATAAATATATTAATCCAAATATAATCTATATATTATTTTGTAAAAAAATAAAATTTTAAGTAATAAAAAAAAGAGAAAATTGAAAAAAATATCGTTCATATATACCAAATTATCAATTTTGTCATTTATTTATCTCGCAAACTAAATATATACTACACATTTGCAAAAATCATCATTTTTATCATTTGGTTGCGCGTGACGTTCAAATAACGGTTGTCTCACGTGTGGCCATGTGCGGCCAAAAAAAAAATGACGACTTTTGCAACCATATAGAATATATTTTGACAGCGAGATAAATAAAGAATAAAAATATAATTAAATTTACACAAAAAAAAAACAAATATTTTTTTCAATTTTTCAAAAAACAAATAATAAAACATTGATTTTGTATTAATATAAAATACTTTGAAAATATAGGGTATATAATATATATTTATTATATTATACTTTATATAATATAATGTTATATTATTAAAAATAGGGTAAACTATTTTTTCAGTCTCGTATCTAATTACTTTTATCATTTTAGGACTTTAAGTGGACCATGTCTGAAAATGGTCTCGTAAGTAAAAAAATTTCGCTAAATTGATCCTCCGGTGCCGAACTCGCTACGCTGGTCCGCCGTTGCTGACGTGGTAATGACGCGACTGACATGTCATTGCCATGTAGATGTCACGTCAGCGACACGTGGAATTTTTTATTTATTTTTATTTTATAAAATATCTTGGTAAACTATTTTTTTAGTCTCGTATATGATCTCATTTATCACTAATGGACTTTGTCTGAAAATAGTTTTGCAAGTAAAAAAATTTCGTCAAAATGGTCCTCCGACGTAGGCACGTGACATTTATGTGGCGATGATGTGTCAGCCGCGTCAGCGCTACGTCATCAACGGCGGGTCAGCGTGGCGAGTCCGGCACCGGAGGACCATTTTAGCGAAAATTTTTTACTTATGAGACTATTTTCAAATATGGTCCACTTAAAATTCTAAAATGATAAAGATGGTCAAATACGATGCTAAGAAAACACGCTTAAAAATATTATAGTCCTGGGTCCCTACTTATAGGGTATGTTTCTTCTGATGGTTTGAGTTTAGAGCCTAAGGAAACAAATCCACACTCCAAAATAATAGTACGGAAGGACCGAAAATCATCTATCTAAAAAGGCTTATGAGTTTTTTTTTTTTTTTGGTAATTATAAATTAAAATTAACTTTATTCACTCTTTTTTCAATAATAATACATTACTTTTTTCATTAATATTACATTTAAATATTATTTAAATAAAAATTCAAATCAATATCCTATTTCAAATTAATTTCAAACCATAATCAAATAAACTCAATATTTTTATAGTCAGGATCATTCAATAATTAAGATATATGTCTAATAAATATAATTGGTTGTGTCATAATTACATTTGCAATTTTAATATTTCTTATTTATACTTACACTATGCACTTTCCCTGTACTTGCGTTGCATTGTTATAACTTAAATAGGAATTGAATTAAATCCAACATTTACTGTATTAATGTAATTGAAATGTGTAAATAAAGTTAACATGATAGTAGAGCTGTTAAACGAATCGAGCCGTTCGTAAACTCGGCTCGGTTAAAGCTCGTTCGCGAATGTTAACGAGTCGAGCCGAACAACATAAATAGACTCGTTTGGTTAACGAACGAACCCGAACTTTGTTTGTGAACGTTCGTTCAAATAATATATTTATTATAAATATTATATATACATATAAAATTATAATTTATAAATAAATAAAATATTAATTTTAAATATATAAATAATATAATTTTAAATTTTTTTTATAATTTATATATAAATTTAAAAAAATAAGACAAACGAGCTCGAACAAACTCGAACAAGCTTAATCGAGCCTAAACGAGCTGAGCTCGAAAGCTTAACGAACGAACACGAGCCTTGTTTGCAAACGTTAATGAACACTTAAAATTTGGCTCGGCTCGGATCGTTAACAGCTCTATATGATAATAACTGTAGAATCTAAATCATCAAATTGATTCAAGAGATTGTGTTCTTCAATCTTTAGATATGATCCTCCTTGAATGATAAGTTTGCTTAGTCCTTCTGATTTAAGTACAATGATACAAAAAGTAGATGTCACCGTTATTGTTATTTAGAATAAATTTTTTTCTTATTATTTTTTTTTTCAACCATGAATTTTATTTTGTAAGTAAATAAACAACAACAATAACAACAACAACAACAATGATAATAATAATAATAATAATAATAATAATAATAATAATAATAATAATAATTAACTTATTAAATTTGCGTGGGAACACGCCAAAATAACCGAATGACTTAAAATCATCTATTAGAAAACGCCTATGTATTTGTTCTTTTCAAATTAACATAATTCAATATTTTTTCCATAAAAATAGTATTATTTTATTTTATAAAACATTAATTAAAATATTATTTAAATAAAAATTTAAATCAATATCCTATTTACAAATAATTTCAAACAACATCAAAAAAACCTAATATTTTTCATACCCAGAATCATTCAATATTTTGGTATTATATTATAATACCAAAATAACTTAAAAAGATACGTTGTTAATATAATTTTATTTTTTTTATAAAAATTATATATATTTTTTAATTTGTTTAATTATATTTAAATATTTTAAATAAAAATAAAATTATAATATAATTGGAGTATTAAATTATTTGTATTTTCTAATTTATTTTAAAAATTTATAGCTTATATTTAATAATTTTAGTATAATTAAAAAAATTATATGCTACTATTTAAATTTGATATCTCAATTATAATTTCAAATTTTAATTCAAGTATAATATATAAATTAAAAATAATAATATAATTATATTTTGATTTTTTTAAAACAAATTAATATATAAATTAATTATTTTTATAATATATTATATTATAGTATTGTATTTATTATATTATTATTAATGATAAAATAGTAATTTTAGTTGAAAATGCTTCTGCTTATTTTAGAAGCTATTTTCATTGTGCTTTTGAAAAAAATATTTTTCAACTTCAAAAGTTGCTTCTGCTTTTAGGCAGAAGCCAATACAAACAAATATAAGATATTATTTTTAAAAGTAGAAGCCAAAAACACCTGCTAGAAGTTAATTCAAACGGGACCTAACGATAATATACTAAATATAATAATTTAGAATAAACCTTTTTCATGTTTTTTTTTTTTTTTCAACCATGAATTCTATTTTGTAGGTAAATAATAAAAAAAAAACAATAATAATACTAATAAATATGAGATCAATGTAAATAAAGTATATAGGTATTGTAATAGACCTTAATATGGAATATGGTATAAACATTATGACTCCATTTAGACAATTGTTTTGAAATAGTTGTTTTGCTTTGGAGAGTTTTGAATTTGAATTATTTTAAATAGTTTTTTATTATAAATATTTATAATAAATGATGTGATTGATTGTATATATAATTAAAATATTGATTTAATATTTGTATATATGTATATATATTAACTAATAAAATAGTAAAGCTATAATTTAATGGTAAAATTTTTATACTATATAAATGTAGTCGTGGGTTTGCTTGCCACCCCTACCCGCTACTTTATTGATAATCAAAAGTTTTGAAACTTTTCTTGGAAAACAAGATGCATATATAAAACAATTCAAATTATCTATGAAATGCCGATTAAAAAAAACTAGTAATGTCGGTTATTAGAAACAAGAAAATCCTAAAAAGAAAAACAAAATTTACAAGAAAACTATAAAATACAGCTGGAGGAAAATAACCTAACCCTATACTTGAAAAAAAGAAAGAAAAAGAAGTAGCATATGCCTAAAATAGATGAATTATTATTATGGTGATTATTAATGGAGAGAAGAAAAGAGAAAAGGATTAAATGGCCTGCGGCTGAGGCTGAGGCGCAGGAAGAGTGGGAATCTGCAGCCACTGGGCAGCCTCGATGTATCCGAGGTTGAGGAAGGGCTGAATCTCGGCGTCGGTCATCCTCTTGGTGAAGGGTGCTCGCTGGTCCAGCAGAGCTCCGGGACCTTGGTTGTTGTACTCCCCGAAGTAGGCGGTGGCGTCGGTGTTGGGATGATTGTTGTTGGACCAGCCCTGAGGATGGACCACGTCTGTCAGCTCGCAGTAGGCGAAGATCACCCGGGAGCAGTCGAACCAGGTCCTCCCCAGATACGCGATCCCGCCGGTGCCGGTGACGTTGCAGTGCACGAAGACGTAGCCGCTGGTCTCCGGCAGGGTCTTCCTCGAATGGGCGGTGATGATGGCCATGGGGTCCCCCGGGATGACGTGGATCTCGCTGTTGAGATACAGAGACTGCCCGCTCCCGAAGATGAAGTCCACAGTGCCCTCGATGTAGCAGTCTTTGTACAGATGCCTCCCCATGTCGTCCATCAGCGTGTCCTGGAAGCCATGGAAGCTGCAGTTGAAGAAGGCCGCGTAGTCGCCCATTATCCTCATCGCCACCGCCTGAGCTCCCACCATCTTCCCGTCGGGCCGGGGCGACGAGTTCTGACATACATTTTACCAGTTCAGATTTCAAATTTCAATTGATCAAATTAGGGTTTTCTATCAATTAATTACTCACCACAATGACCATGTTGATCGCCGTGAAGTAGTCCGACTCCACGATCAGCGTCCCGCTGTCGGCCGTCCCGAACTTGGCGGCGTTGCCGTCGAACACCATGGTCGGCCTGCACAGCGGGTCTCCGAAGAAGGTGATGAAGGGCTTGTTCCTCTCAATCTTCACCTTCTCCGTGTAGTTCCCGGCCCCGATGAAGATCACTACGCGCTGCTTGTTGTCCGGAGGGATGCTGTTTACGGCTTCCGTGATGCACTTGAACTGCCCGCTCCCGTCGGCCTTGACCGTGATCACTTTTGGCGGTCCGGCCAGGGCGGCGCTCAGCACCGATTGCGCCGACACTACCGACTGCGACATTTGAGCCACATTGCGCTCGAACCATGCGTTGAGCTGAGTCTTGTCCGTCGGAATCGGCTCGCATGCTTGGCCGGGCGCGCCAGGCTGCGCGCCGGGGACTGGTAGCGCGCCGGGAACGGGCTGGGCGCCGGGAACTGGTAGCGCGCCGGGTACGGGTAGGGCTCCGGGGATGGGTTGGGCGCCGGGGATGGGTAGGGGCTGGGAATGGGCGATGGGGAAATGGTGGAGGAGAAGGAGAACTGCCCCGATGAGGACAGGTACCTGTCGTTTGACGACATACATTTTGTAATTGTAATGAGTTATGTTTTTGGATTTGAAGTTGAGATGAATATTGGATGAAGACGACAATGGTGTGTATTTATAATATATAGAGAGAGAGAGATGAATCGAAGAGAATTGGGAAGGAAGCGTAAAGAAAGATGAAGATGGAGATGGAGAGTTGAAATAGTGAGATGCCCGAAATATTTGTGGTATTAATTCATCAAAGGCACATTTACACATATTTGTGGATGGGTTTGATTATTACTTTTTCTCTTTTATCATTTTGATCACTCATATCTTAGTATGTATGTTAGTGTGTGTATGAGAGCGGATCATCAGCATTACCCGTCCCCGCTCCACTCTCACCATCATCACACATCTATGTATAGAGGGGATCCTCAGCATCACCTATCCCTATCCACTCTCAGCATCATTACACACCTCTCAGAATCATCACACACCAACGGGTGAGTGATGATGCTGAGAGTGGAGCAGGGACGGATGATGCTGATGATTCCCTCTCTTATATATATATATATTATATTAATGTCTTGTCTTAAAATTAATATATGACCTTATTGGTATCAAGTTTTCAAATATTTTTTTTAGCTTAAACTATGACAATGCAAAATTATGGAATACAAATATTAACAGATTAAACAACCCTACAAAAAGTCGAGAGACATACAAAAACATCATAAAACAACAACGTAGACAGTAAAATGGCCAATGGAACTAGTAAAGAATCAAACTGAATATAGAAGGAAGAATACAAAGGAATGTTATTGTAAATTTATTATTCATGATGTCATATTTTAAAAACCTTAGTAAAATAACAAAATTACAATAATATCAACTATATATTGCAATATTAATATTGGTATTGTTTGAAATCCATAAGTATTTTTTTTATTAAAAAAAAATTCATTACAATAATATCAAATTGTTATTTCACCAAATATTTTAATACAAACCTAACAGCTAATCGAATCAACTAACAACTAATTACCAAACACACCCTTTGTATTTTTGGATAGGTGCATTTTTTTTTCTTATATATAAATAAAAATTGTATTTATAATATAAAAATAATATTTTTTACTGAATTATTAATTTTTTTAAATGAATAAAAATATATATATATATATTATATTTTTTAATAATCTTTATGAAGAATTTTGCCATTTGAAAAAAAAAATAATAACAAAATGAACAAGCTCATAGTTTCTTAATATTATCAATTTTCGTAATTAAAATATTTTTAAATAAACAAAAAAATTCAATGGCTAGTCAGTTAATATTAACCATACTGTTAAAATATAAGTCGATCCGACCATACAAAAAAATTCAGCAAAATGTTGCAGGCTTTGTTCAGTTAAAAAAAAAAATTCACATTTTTTCTAAAAAAAAAAAAATGAATATATTACACAAACTCTTTATTTTTATATTACATATAAAATTCACAATAACTCACATAAAAAAAAAATATCAAAATACAAAACAAACACACCTTGATCAATGTGATTTAGACAAATTAAATTTACAATGATAAATTAATTTATAACGTATATATATCTCCAAATCCAATACTCCTTCGGGTGTGTTTGTTTGGGAATTGGATTTTAAATACACTATTCATCCAATTTTTTTCTTCAAAAAAATATCAAATTAAATACCTATTTTTTATTTTTTATATTATATCAAAAATCAATTTTACATTCAAAACACCATATCAATACCTATCACATCATATAACTATTCAAATTCAAAATTTTTACTATTCAAATCCCAACTCAAAATTCAAAACCCCCCGAACAAACACCTGAAAGTGTGATGAACAAAACATTGATTACTGGGTAAACTGTTTTTTTAAGTCCCATAACTGGACCCCCTTATCATTTTAGTCCCGTAAGTGGAGTCTGTCGCAAACTAGTCCCATACGTGAAAAATTTTCGTTGTTTTAGTCATCTGGTGCCGTAGACGCCCGCGTGGCTCGCCGGAGGTGACGTGTCCGCCAGGTCAGTGACACTTGGCGCTGACCTGGCGGATACGTGGATTTTTTTTTAAAAAAAATAAATTTAAAACTTATTTTTAATTTATTTATATTTTTTATTTTTTAATTTGATTTAATTTTAAAAAAATTAAAAAAAATAAAATAAATAAATAAATCCACGTGTCCGCCAGGTGTCGGTCAGCGTCACCTCCGGCGAGCCACGCGGGCGTCTCCGGCGCCGGAGGACTAAAACAGCGAAAATTTTTCACTTATGAGACTAGTTTGTGACATGCTCCACTTACGGGACTAAAATGATAAGGGAGTCCCGGGACTAAAAAACCCGTGTACTTTTGATTATTTTTTACCATTAAACAATTTGTTTCATATGAATTAGGCTGTAAAGGTACAAATCCATAAACTACAAAATAGTAAACAATTTGTTTCATATGAATTAGGTTGTACACACATAAAGCCATAAACTACAAGATCTAGTCCATGCATGTATCTTCTTTATAGCCCACATTTATTATTTTTTACTTAATTTTGAAGAGAAGGTAAATTTATTTTATTTTACCAGCCTGATCTTTTTAGTCTCTAAATTATTATAAAACCCCAACAAATATAAAAACACATAAATGGATCCTAAAACATTGTTCTTATTTCTACTGTTTCTTACAATCATTTCCCCAGTCTTTTCCTCACCCTTGATTGTTATAGACAATGCTATGTATAATCAAAATCCAAACATTGTAGAGCTTCATATAGATCCGCCCGCGACTATCTTTCCTATATCTTTGCCGCTTGAAGAACACTTTGAGTTTCCAATTATTAGGAAAACTATTTCTTATTCTGTCAAAGCTTTTTGGGGTCGAAAGAAGTCGGAGTTTGAGATATACAACAAAGATCATGACAAAGATCGTGGGAACATATTTTTTTCGGCGTCTGCGAGGGGATTTGAAAGGAGTACCGATGGTATGCGGACATGGGACTTTGTCGCAGAATGGAAACAGGCTGATTGATCGATGAAATATTGTTCAATAATATATATCAGTTTTCCTGAAGAATAATACTGTGATTTGGTTTTATGTTGGATTATTTTGTTTCAATTTATTGTTGTGTTGTTGTTTTCTTTTTTTTTTTTTTTTATAGAATGTGTTAAAAACTAAGATTCATTTTATCAAAAAGAATGTGTTCTGAATTAGAATATAAAATATTGAATTGAAATCTAAAAACCAAAGCAAACAAGGCATTGAACTAAAATCAATTGTAACAATGACTCCTTGCTTTGAGTTGTTGAAAGAAGTTGAAGACGAATTCAGATGTTGTAAGCATCCAGATGAAATCGATTTACTATTTGATGAAATTGGGGCTGCCTAACTTATGAGAATTCCAAATCTTAGAACAACTTCGACAAATCCAACTCTGGCAGCGGCGGCAACGATGAACAGATAGTAGCAGCACCAACTCTGGTGGCGAACATATCGGTGGCAATTTTCTTCCCAAAGATTCTCAAGTGGCTCTCTAAGGAATGATTGGGGAAACTTTTGAATTGGTTCAACCTATTATTCTTTCGACTGTGAATGACCAAAAATAGGGACTATCCAACCGCTCTTAAACAAATCCCACACTGACGGAATCTAACACTGCAATCTAACTCTATACTCTGATCAAACCCCCGAACACTCAGCGCACTAAGAAGGAGAACTTACTGGAGAAATCGGCGAGAGAAAACGATTGAAACAAACAACAAAGAAGAAAACCCTAAATTCCCATAGAGAGACTCAAAGAAGAGAAAAATTTCACACACAATATGAATCAAGCGGAGTATCGAATGGGGAGGAAAATGGGTTATACTTCTGTTGTATAGAAAATTTGTATATCCTGAGTCTCACGACGGCTTGATGAAACAAGTTGGATACTGTCTACAGATTTTATGATTTGACATGACCGGTTTGGGCACTCCGGTAATACTATGATGGAACGAATTATAGAAAATATCCATGGCCATAACTTGAAAGATCAATTGGTATTAAATATAAATAAGCTTAAATGTGTTGCTTACTCAAAAGGGAAATAAATAACTAGACCATCACCAACAAAAGTGGGAACTGAATCTCATGCATTTTAAGAACGAATTCAGGGTCATATATGTAGGCCAGTAGATCCACCATGCGGACCATTTTGATATTTTATGGTACTCATCGATGCATCTACTAAATGGTCGCATGTATGTTTATTATCCACCCGCAATTTGGCATTTGCGAGGTTGTTTGCTCAAATAATTAGATTACGAGTGCAGTTTCTAGATCACCCAATAAAAAAAATTCGTCTTGATAATGTTGGTGAATATTCATCCAACACATTTGATGATTATTGCATGTCTATTGAGATTGATATTGAGCATCATGTACAATATGTACATACTTAAAATGGTCTAGTTGAATCGCTTATAAAGATGTTGCAATTAATTGCAAGATCTATGTTGATGAAATCTAAACTTCCCGTATCTGCTTGGAGACATGCAAACGGGAATCATATAAGTATTTGTGTAAATAATTATGCATGCAGTAACATTGATAAAATTGAGACCGACAAGCTATCATAACTACTCCACATTACAATTGATGTATAATAAAAAGCCCAATATATCATATTTTCGAACATTTGGGTGCATAGTTTATATGTTAGTAGCACCCTCCAACGCACAAAAAAGGCCCCCAACGGAGATTGAAGATATATGTCGGGTATAAATCACTATCTATTATTAAATATCTTGAACCATTAACTGGTGATTTATTTACGCCTTGATTTGCTGTTTTGACGATCACATCTCCTGACATTAGGGGGAGAAATTGATCAATTGAAAAATAAAATTACTTGGAAAGTACTTTTCAATTTTCTTGATCCTCGTAATAGCCAAAGTGAATTAGAAGTGCAACGAATTTTAGATTTGCAGCAAATAGAAAAACAGTTATCTAATGCTTTTTGTGACGCCAGTAGAGTCACAAGATTATATATAGCTGCAAATAATGCACTGGCTAAAATCATTGTTCCTAAAGGGCAAATGCAAAGTGCTAGTGAATCAAATGCACACCTGAAGCGTGGTACACCTTTAGGTTCTAAAGCTAAAAATTTTCGAAAGAAAAGAAGAATAAATGAAAGGATTCAAGATTTAAGTATTAATCAAAATCATCAGGGGGAACAAGTAGTAACATGAATCAAATTCCTGAAGAAATTGATCATAATAAACTTTTGGAAGAAGTTAATCCTAATAAAATTCCTGAAGAAGTTGAAGCAGATATAATTTCTTCTGAAGAGAATGATGTTATTGAAAATTCGATAAATTATGTTACTACTGGGAAGCATTGGAACCGAAATGATATAATTATTGATAATACTTTTGCATATAATGTAGCACTTGATTTAATGGAAAATGATGAGGATCCTGAACCTAGATCAGTTAATGAATGTCGGAAAAGAAAAGATTGGCCAAAATGGAAATATGCGATCCAATCTGAATTAAATTCATTGACAAAACAGAAAGTTTTTTGACCCATTGTTCAAACACCTGAAGGTGTTAAGCCTGTTGGCTATAAATTGGTATTTGTTTGAAAACAAAATGAGAATAATGAAATTGCCAGATACAAAGCAAGACTTGTTGCCCAAGTTTTTCACAAAGACCAATAATTGATTTTAATGAAACATATTCTTCAATAATTGATGAAATAATATTTCGATATCTTGTCAGTTTCGCAGTACATAAAAATTTGGATATGCGTAAGATGGACGTCGTAACTGCCTATTTATATGGCTCATTAGATACTGATATCTATATGAGAATTTCTGAAGGATTCAATATGCTTGAAACATACAAAATAAAGCTAAAAGAATATTATTCTATTAAATAAAGCTCAAGCAATCTAGTCGCATGTGGTATAATCGTCTCAGTGAATCATTATTGAAAGAAAGATATGTCAATGATTCTGTTTGCCTATATGTTTTTATGATAATAGTTGTATATGTAGATGACTTGAATTTAATTGGAACCCTTGAAGAGGTCCAAGAAGCTATTGAATATTTGAACAGAGAGTTTGAAATTAAAGATTTCGGGAAAACAAAATTATGTCTTGGTCTACAAATTAAACATTTGGAAAATTGAATTTTGATACATCAATCTGCATACATCAAGAAGGTATGGAAAAATTTGCAATGGATAAAACACATTCATTAAGTACTCCAATGATCGTTAGAATTCTCGATTCTACCAAGTATTCTTTTAGACCAAAGGAGGAGAGTGAGGAAGCACTTGGTACTAAAATACCATATTTAAGTGCTATTAGCGCACTAATGTATCTGATTAACAGTACAAGATCAGACATATCATTTGTTGTAAATTTATTAGCAAGATTTAGTGCAATGCCAACACAACGACATTGGAAAGACATTAAACATATTTTTCCGTTATCTCTAAGGAACGATTGATTTCGGTTTATTATATTCAAAGAATTCTTTACATGAATTGATTGGATATTCAGATGCTAAGTATCTATTTAACCCGCATAAAGTCAAGTCTCAGACTGACTATATATTTACATGCGGCAGTACAGTGGTATCATGGAAATCCACTAAACAAACATTAACTGCAACTTCGTCGAATCGTGCTGAAATAATAGCAATTCATGATACTAGTCCAAAATGTGTCTAGTTGAGATCAATGACTCACTATATTTTAAAGAATTGTGGTTTGAAATCTGAAAATGATAATCATCCTACTATTTTATACGAAAATAATACAACTTGTATAACGCAACTGAAATGGGGATATATCAAGAGAGATATAATAAAACATATTTCACCTAAATTTTTCTTTACTCATGATTTTAAAAAAAAATGGTAAAATAGATGTGTTGTAGATTCAATTCAATGATAATTTAGCAGATTTATTGACCAAAGCTCTACCGACTGCAACATTCGAGAAATTGATAAAGAACATTGAGATGCGTCGGTTGCAATATTTCAAATGATGTCCATATAAGGTAGAGCAATTTTGAAAGCATGAATCACGTACTCTTTTTCCTTATTAGGATTTTTGTCCCACTTGATTTTTTCCTAATAAAATTTTAACGAAACATATTAATTACAATTAAATGACATCTAAGAGGGAGTGTTATAACACATTGTGCATTATGATAAGTGTTATTCAGTTAAGTATTACATGTGATTTATTTATATATTGACACCTAATGTAATTGATGACTAATCTCCACAATCAATTGTATAAATAGACTTACTCATTGTATTAATTGGTTGTAATTGTGGAATTGAAGAACACGATTTTCATTCACACTTCTCCTCGGCTCTCTCTCTACATCCCGTATTTCTATATATATTACAAAAAATATATACACATATATACACACACATACTTACATATATATTGGCGGCGGTTACACTGCCGAATAGACACCGTGTGCTACCGGACAGCATACGGTGTTACCATAGATAGCACACAATATATGTTAATATAATACAAATACAATACATGACTTAATAATACATGATATAGTCTCACACATCACATACAATACTTGATTTTAGCACATGACATATTCTCATACGATACACGTTAAAATTATAAACAAACAAGACATGTTTTCCGTAACCTTCCCTTCCCTATATATATTATATATACAATTCTATTGATTTATTTAGCTATATGCATATATATATATTTATTTATAAAATACATACACGGTTCTATCTATATTTATACATATATTTATATTGATATTTTTGTTATATACTTATTTCATAACATAATAATAATAATAATAATAATAATAATAATAATAATAATAATATATTTTTACGTGGTGATAAAAAATCACACATAATTGCACATCACCCATTGCCAAATATATATAGTACTAATCCTAAAATAATTCTATTAAAATAATAGTATTTTGTTAGTTAATAGAAGTGTTTAAAAGGTTTTGATTTTTGTTATTTGACTTTACGTATAAAGTAATGATATGATAATAATATGTTTGTAATTTAAGTAAAAGTTAAGAGTATTGTAATATTAGTGTATAATTATTTTTTCTAAAATAGAAAAGAAATACTTTGAAATGAAACAAACGAAAATAATAAAAAAATAATTTGAATTAGGACGGAGAGTCCTAATTATGTGCGATGCAAATATATATTATTTATTATTTTTAATATTTTAACTATATACAATAATATAAATTTTTAAAAATTAACTTATATATTTGTTATTATTGTCTTATTATAATTACAATCTTTAATCAATAGACTCAATGACAAAATTTAACAAAAAGATATAAAACTTACAGAGTTGATGAAAAAATTGAACTAAAATATCATGAAATCAAAACAAATAAAATTTGAATACACTAACTATACATTCAAAAAAAAATAAAAAAAAGAAATAAATAAATAGACTGGTCGTGTAAGGAATGACATGGTGGTATGGGGTGGACTTGTGAACGTGAAGTCATGGGATCAAACCCTCGACACCTTCAGGTTCACTTGCCACACATAGTTTCCGCACTGTGACTTGCCTTTTCCAAACCTAGTTTGCAGTACGCACTTTCGGGTAACATTTCCTATTTTAGTAAAAATAATCATAAACCAATACCAAAATACCCCTATACTATATCAAAACATCTTAAACATTCTCACTAACTAATAAAATACTATTATTTTTTAATGTATTACCAACCCACAAACCTCATTTGACCAAGACATGAGTATTAAAAACCACATAAATACAAAATCATCAAAATTTCACCAAAAAAAAAAAAAAAAAAAAAGAAGAAAAGAAAAACAACTACTAACTGATTTATCATAATAATAAGAGAAATGATTGGATGCTGATTTTTTATGATCGCCTAATCCTGTCCCTAATAAATACTCCCTCAGTTCCATTTAATACGAGTGTATTAGGTAAAGTATAATTAGTAAGTAATTAAAAAGTGTATTAGTAAAAATAATCATTAAGATTAATATAACTAAATAGTTTAATTAAAATTAAGAAAATTATAAAATTTAAAATTTAAAATGCGATTAAAGTGCATAATTGTATTTCCAGAAATGAAAAGAACAAGTTACGTGGGACGGACAAAAATAAAAAATAGAGACAAATTACGTGGGATAGAGGGTGTAATAAGCTAAAAAATAGTAAAAACTACTAATATTGCAATTATGTAAATTTAATAGATTATTATATTTAAAATAAATTAATAAATAAAAATCTAAATAAAAAATAATCGTATTTTACAACTTAGATAAATATATTAAATGGAAACATATTTATATTATATCATCATTATTCTATTAAAAAAATAATAATATATATTAATTTTAATTAAGAAACACACAGAAACCCATATTGATGGCCATACACGCACTTTTCCCTTCCTAAACCTTTGATAATATGTACTACGATTATTTTTATATATAAAAAAATCAATACACACAAAACAAAGAAAACCCTAAATCAATGCCCACCACCGCCCGTCCCCTTTTCTCTTCTTCTTCTCCCCTTTTCTCATCTCCTTTGTACTTCGTCTTCCTCTTTCTATTCTTCTGAGCCCTTCGTCCTCTGTCGCAAATGCTACCGGCGGTCTCCTAGGAGAAAACAAAGGTGAGCTTCATTTCCTTATTATTCTTCCGTGACATCTTCACCGCGTTGCTTGGGGTGCCTGAATATATATACACGATTAGAATTAGATATTAGATATTGATATTGAAATCACACATCCGTCACGTTTTGCTTCCAAATTCCAATCCTTCGTGCTCCGACCCGCGAGCCTCGACATCCAATTTCGTCTCCAACCTCCGGACAAAGCGGCGAGCCGGCGATTGCAACTTCTTGTTCGTCTCTACTGCCTTCATCTTCGTCTTCATTGGCTTTGACGTTGTTTTCCAAAGCAGGACAACTTCATCATCATATTAACGTCCTTTTGTTCCACGCTTTCGTCAGCTGTAAGTTCGATCCTTATCTAACTTGTAATTATTTTGTATTATCAATTTCTATGGCTGCCGCTGCCTATGTATGTTTAGGGTTTCAATGATATAGTATTAGGGAAAGAATCAATGGCAGTAATAAGATTTAGTAAAAATCTTCCAAAAGAACACAGATCTGGTTGTTTTCCCAACAGATGCTACATCAATCCCATTATGTCTACCTCATCAACTTTCTTTAGTTTTTGAAAGATTATCAAAATTGATTGAAATGGTTTATAATGGTACTAAAATTGATGAATTTTTATATTGAGACCAAAATTGATAAATTTTAGTTATATTGGGGCTACTATTAATCTTTTTTCCCTTTAGTATTATTTGTTTTCAATTTTAATTACAGTTTTTGTTGTTACGAGTATTTTAGAGTTCGAATTGTTTGCTATCATCAATTTCAATGCGTACTTGCTAGAAAGAACACATTATATTGTATAAATCTGAATGTATGATATATAGTGAGGAGGTGTGAGAATGTACAATCATTTTCAGCAATATTAATTTTTGACTTGCTGTTTTGTCATTTTCTAATCGTGTTATTTATGTTCAGAAAAGAACAATATGCGAATCTTTCAAGCATTTGCAAAAGTTTTGATGTATTTACAAGGTTTCTGATTTCAAAAACAGAGTCTTGAATCCAGCATGTCATCTGGCAGACGCCGACGTCACGAAGAGTCATATGACTCTTCATCGGATTCGGGTTCCGGCTCCATTCAACGTGGGAGCAGGGCTCGTCACAATACCAAGAATTATGATAGTGATTTTGTCAAAACCACTAAGCACAGGAGTAAGAGAAAGATTACTGAAGAAGAAATTGCGGAATACCTAGCCAAGAAGGCCCAAAAAAAGGTCTATTTTCTTAAGTCTCATAGAAGTTGCCCCCTCTACTTTGGTCTCTATCTTCTAATCTTTTAGAAGTTGTCTCATCTGCTTAAAAAATATATGCATCTTTTCTTTACAACTGCAGGCTACAAAGGTAGCTAAAAAATTGAAGTCGCAGACTATCTCTGGATATTCCAATGACTCAAATCCATTTGGCGATTCAAATCTCAACGAGACGTGAGTTGAATTGATTTAATCTTTTCTATCATTAAAATGAAGCCACTACTTGACTTGTTACTTATTACTTCAATTCTGCTTCATCTTCCACCTTGCAATATTGTTTATTTCCTCTCTTTAAATTTAAAATCTTCCCTAATTTTCAATATTTAACTCACAACTGCTAGTAAAATATCCAGTTATGGATCCTTTTGAATTCTCTTATCATGATACTATTTCAAGTTTGCAATGCACAGGTTTGTGTGGCGAAAGAAAATTGAGCGTGATGTGTCTCAAGGCGTGCCACTTGATGAGTTCTCTGTCAAAGCGGAGAAGAAGAGGCAAAGGGAAAGAATGGTAATATTTATGCCTTTTTTTTTTTTTTTCGAATGTTGGAGTTGTCTATAAAAATAATAGGAAGGCCATAAAAAGGCCATAAATGCATAAGCTAAGTATATTTTGGGACAGTGAAGTATCCCATATCTAACAATGGAAGGGTTGTGGTGAAGGTTTGAGAGAGTTTTTTAAGCTACATCGTCATTCAATTATGTTGAACTAAATGCATAAAAAATTAAATGAATATAATAATAATAATAATCATTGACTGTATCTTGATCAGTTCTCCTTTTACCCTCCCCTGGGCCAACTTTTATGCTGAGGTATTAGCACCCAACCTTTCTATAGTAGGGTCGGCTGCTTTCTTCTACTTACTGTTTGTTAATGCCATATTCTTCAGGTTTATGTAACAATATAATTCGATGAGTATGAAGATGATAAAAAAACTGAACATGAAGCTTCCTCTATGCTTTTATATGTTCCTTTGCCATATGGAAACTACTTGGTCTAGAATATGTTATCAGCTATAACCATGCTATGGTTTATAGTGAATCTTACCTCCTGATTCATTTTCCTAGATAACCTTATGTTTTTATATTTTCTACTTGGTAGGCTGAGATAGAAAAGGTGAAAAAAAGAAGAGAAGAAAGAGCCATTGAAAAAGCACAACATGAGGAGGAGATGGTAGGTTTTCCCGTCCTTATTTTGAACACTGAAGAAGCACTTTTTTTGGTGTTCTAGGAGATTTGATGAATTGATTTAATCTATTAGATACTTAATTTCCCAACTCAGTTATTTTCACTTTATAGGCACTTTTGGCTAGAGAGCGTGCTCGAGCTGAGTTCCAAGACTGGGAGAAGAAAGAGGAAGAGGTAAACCTGCTAGTGATGGAAACTTTTTGGTTTTGTCCTCTTTTGCATGTTTCATTTGGTTTCCAGGCTTTTGCCCTTTTCCAACTTTAGCTCATTAGTTGCTTGTGATGTGGTTTATGTGCAGTTTCATTTTGATCAAAGCAAAATTAGGTCAGAGATACGGTTGCGTGAAGGTCGTACCAAGCCAATTGACATACTTACAAAACATCTTGATCCTTCAGATGACTTTGAGATTGAATTAAATGAACCATACATAGTCTTCAAGGTATACTTCCAATCACCTTACCTTCCTCACCATTGGCGGTGGAAATAAGAAATTATAATACTTCAAGCTTATGTTTTCTTGAAATGCCTACTAATATTCTCTTGATATTGATTTCTTTTATGGATGGTTGGTTGATTTTTCTTATTAGGGTTTGACCGTGAAAGAGATGGAAGAGCTTTATAATGATATAAAGATGCACCTTGAATTAGACAGGGCAACTCCTACTCATATAAGATATTGGGAGGTATCATTCGCTCTCTTTGGTTTCTACTAATTTAAATATATATTAATAAGAATAATGTCTTTTGTTAACTTGTTTAATATCTTAGTTGGCTCCACAATGTGCTTTAGTTTAATTTGCTGTCAGTTGGATGTTCATAATTAGTGAGTTACAAGTTGGAAGTGCTAGTGTTCTAATGGTTATTTGCTCTTGATATTGTTAATATGGAAAATTTTCACCAGTCAATTTTTGCTTATATGCTATCAGGAATTAGTTTTTCTCGACTTCTCGTGCACTTTAAATTTTTATTTTTATTTGCTTATATACAAGTAACAGCAGAGTCCTCTTTAATATTTTATGTGATGTTTTGAATGTAAAATTGATTTTTAATATAATATAATAAATAAAAAATATATATTTGATTTGATATTTTTTAGGGTATAATTTGTGAATAGTGAAAAATAAATCAAATTACCCAAACAAACGCACCCATAAATGTTTCTGATGATTTGAGGAAATGATAAAATTCTAAGGGAAAACCGAGATGATGGTTTATATTCGTAATATAAATTGCCTCAATATATATATATATATATGTTGAGTGTTATTATAATTATGAGCTTGCATTAATTTCTTATTTAGTATCATGTTGTTATTGACTTAGCAACTATTTCACCTCCATATTCGCTCACCAGTCCACTTCTTTTTGCTTTCAATTTCTTTTCCTGGTCTTTCTATTCTTCAACTGTTACAATATTGCTGCAATTGAAACTTATTATTGCCTTGGTCCTTATTCTCATCCATGCTAAGCATTTTAGATTCAGAATTTCTTACTATGTTTTGGACCAAAACAATACGTAAAATAATGTTAGGGAAAGATAAAGATAGAATATAACATAGGATGTACAAGGAAAAGGAGAAGATAAAGGAAAACTCAGAGTTGGAATAATTTCTTTCTAAAATATACCCATGAGATAAGATATGACTATAGTGCTTTTGGTAAAATAAATCTTTGGAATATATCTTAGATGATTGCCAATATACCAATCTACCAATCATAGCTTTGTTTTGTGATTTAATGTTTCCTTCAGAAGTCATGGCTGTATTATTACCAATCAGGTTTCCTTTTAAAACTATATATGTTGATGACAGGCACTTTCGGTTGTTTGTGAATGGGAGCTAGCTGAAGCTAGAAAAAAGGATGCATTGGAGCGCGCCAGGGTGCGGGGAGAGCACCTACCTTCAGAGATGGTTGGTGAAGAAAGAGGCTTGCATGTTAGTGTTGAAGCAAACGTTAAGAGCCTTTTGCAAGGGAAATCATATAGCGAACTAGAAGATCTGCAATCCCAGATCGAGTCACAAATGCAATCTGGGACTGCTAAGGTGGTTGAATATTGGGAAGCTGTCTTAAAGCGTCTTCATATATACAAAGCTAAGGTAATTTTGCATGTTGAATTTTGGTAATTGCATTGTGAAGTTTGTTCTGAGTTTTGACATTTATTTGCAAAACTGAAGCGTTGTGGAGGTACTTTTGCATGCTAGACACTGCTGTTTGCAATACAGAATTTACACTTCACAATTTACATACAAAACTGCAGGCTTGTTTAAAGGAAATTCATGCTAAAATGCTGCGTAAGCATTTGGAACGTTTAGAGGCGCCATCAGAGGGTGAAGATGGCAAGAGAGAGTGGACTCCAGAGCTTGTTGAGCAGGATACTGCTCACGATACACATGGTAAGTTATATTTGAAAGCATTTGAAATTTTCTGCCTTCCTAAGCACAAGTACTTGTGTTTTGTTTAGTTGTCAGTTGACAATCCTAGAGCATGCAGGTGCTGTTCTGTCGCCTTCACCTGTGATGGATGCAGAGGTCCCTGATGAAGAAGAACTAGATGGATTGTATTCACCAAAACTGTTGCAGAGTGATGAAAATGAAGATGCTGTTGATCCTGAAGAGGACAGAGCTATTTTGGTAATCTGAGTTTAAAAGCTTTGCATATTCGTTTATATTTTGTCTTAATGGGAAATACATTTCAGAAAGTAATGTTTTATTTTCCAAAATATCCTTTCCCATTGCAAGTGAACATCATTTTCATCTGAAAGATTACATAAATAAAACAAAGAGGAAACATTACTCTGCATATGAGCTAATGCAATATATTGAACCATCGTTGTGTTCTTTGTTTCTAGTATCTTGTGCAAATCAATCAAGTAAATTTGTCTTAGTTAAAGATGCTACTGGTGTTTCTGTTGCTTTATCAACTTATATTATGTTATAGTTCCTCTTCGAATTTTTAAACTAGTACATCTTTCCATCTGGCTCAGAATAATTTCTTTATAGGACATGACCACAAGAAGGCATCCATATCCTTGTTCAAACTAAATGTCAAATTAAGATTTGCCTATTACTTTTCCTTCTTGAATACTTGCTATGTAATGATGATTCAAAAGTCTGCATTTGAGAGTAACAAATGTTCCATTGTATGCTGATGTTAAGAAACTCTAATTTTTTTTATATGTTTCTGCAAAAGCTTCAAGACTCAGATAGCCTCAATTTGTTACTGGAAGATATATAGGCTGGCATAGTCCCTAGGCATATGAGCTTATTGAATACTTGTGTGCAGGAAAGGAGGCGGGTTTCCGTTTTAGAAGAGCGGCGCATACAAGAATTGGCTTCAAGACCTCCTCCTGAAGATAACTTTGAGAAAAATGCTATAAAAGCCATGGGCACTATGGAGGAAGGTGATGCTGTATTTGGCTTGGGTGATGAAATTAACCTTGACTCGCAGGTGGAGATTTTCACTTTACAGTATTCTATTTTTTTCCTTGAGCTCGCTTGAAATATAGAAACCTTTTGAAAGTTAAAATCTTGTTCCATTTTACCATTGGGAACAGGTATACTGGTGGCATGATAAATATCGTCCAAGAAAACCGAAGTATTTTAACCGAGTTCACACTGGCTATGAGTGGAATAAGTACAACCAAACTCATTATGATCATGATAATCCACCCCCCAAAATCGTACAAGGATACAAGTTCAATATTTTCTACCCCGATCTTGTTGACAAATCGAGGGCTCCAACTTACACCATTGAGAAAGATGGAGACAGTGCTGAGACTTGCATCATAAGGTTTCATGCTGGGCCCCCTTACGAAGATATTGTAAGCTAATCGTTGTTTCCTATTTGATTCTCTCCTAATGCATGAATTTCAGTATGCTTGTTTGGAAAATAAGATTTTGTACGACTCACAAGTTTATCTGTGTGTGCAGGCCTTTCGGATTGTCAATAAAGAGTGGGAATACTCGCACAAAAAGGGGTTCAAATGCACATTTGAAAGAGGTATCTTGCATGTGTATTTTAACTTCAAACGTTATCGGTATAGGAGGTGATTTTGGGAATTTTGTGCTGCTGTTGTTTTCGTCTCTAAATGTACATTTCTCCCGTTGGGGATCTCTGTGCTTACTGGTGACTGGATATTTTGGGAGTTTCTATTGTAATTAATTGTCACACTGGTGATGTGGTTAATCTTGAAGTTTGATGTGCTTATCACACTCCTCTGAACCCTTTTCTGTTGTACTGATGTTTGTTTTTTTTTTTTTACTTGGTTAGAATAGTGATGGATGTGTTCTTGATTGTCTTAACTTTGTGGTGAAAACTATTTCATGAATTATATATGCAGTACTTTTGGTTTTGGATCCCTAGTTTAGCGGTATCCAACTCTAAGAATGGTCATAATGGATATGTTCATGTAAATTTCTCAAGGTTTAAACATTTGCAGGTATTTTTTATTTTCTCTAAATATTTATAATAGGTTTTAAAAGTCCAAAATTCTCTTTTCAACAACGTTGGAATAAAAAAGAAAGGGAAAAAACTTTGTAGCTGAAGAAAATAGGGGAACAACTTTGCTGTTTTAGGATGTATTTTGATGTGATATTTTGAATTATACATAAATTGTATTAAATTATTTAAGAATTACAACTTGGTATGTACGAATGGAACTTACACTAGAAGTTATGATAATCCTCGTCGATTTTCCCATCCTCTTCTGCTGTCTCTCTATCACATTCCCTCCTGTTGTTCTCCAATCCTTCAAACCATTTTACGTTCTTCCTCCAAAGGTTGCTTCTCGGCCCGTCTCTTGTCAACATCGGAATATCATGTCATTAAGCAAATTCTAGTTTATTGATGCTAACTAAATTCAACATGTTGTATGTAGAATACACATAATTGTAGGTTTCCATGCACTGGCTTCAATGACTGCAGACACTCCCAACAGATCTAAGATCTTTATAGAAATCTTCCAATGCTGCAAGGGAGAGGCTAACAAGCATTTGGAGAACAATCACCAATGAATAGAGTCATTAGCAAGAAAGATGATAACCTAGCTGAGAAAAGATACCTCATGTTGGGTCACATTTGTTTCATTGAATGCAAATATTATTATATTAATGGTAATCATGTCTTATAGAGGATGCTGCAACCATAAGAGCATCTTCAATGAGCTACATTTTTTGTGCTGCAGTCCCATGGAGTTCTTCCTCTCTAACTATGGGCAGTTTTTGACACAAAAAAATGGTATTTGCTATACATGTACCTTTTTTTTTTTTTTTTTGTATTTTTAATTATTTTTTATATTAATTATTTTATTCTTTTATTATGTTTTAATTTTTTTTAAAAAAAGTATATTAATTGTAGATATAAAAAGTAGTTTAAAATAATACTCCCTCTGTCCACAGATTAATGTCTAATAACTGTTGTCCTATTTATTTATTTATTTATTTATTTTTTAATACAAATGTTTCTTTTTTACCTTTCATTTATTTATCATTTTTAATATCTACTTTATCATAAAAGATAAATTTGTCAAAAATTCGTGCAAATATACTTTAGGACAATTATAAATTGACGGAGAGTATACAAAATAGAATATTCGAACAATATTCTTTTTTTGAGTAAAAATATTGTAGCAATTGTATTTTTAAAATTAAAACTGCTTGGTAGGTTGAAGATGGCCTAAGGTAGACAAGCTTGTTGATGCAAAAGCTTCAGTAATAATGGCTCCTGATGCAGACCAAGACCAAGTGAAGATTTCGATTTCTCCGGGTGTATCAACGACCAGAACATAGTCATCTTATTTTCGGCTAAGAAAAAGTAAAACTCAATACTTAATGATGTTAGAACTACACGCGCGCCTACGCCTTAAACCATAAGACAAATATTCACCCTGCTTAGGGGTTCAAACTTTCCACCAAAACTTTTTCTTTCAATCAATTATTCTTTCTACCAAAATACGATAAATAATGATAGTCACCAATAAACAATGAAAATAATAATACGAGATACTTCAAAGTGAAGGATAAAAACTACGAGGATCCAAGGCAATATCCACTGTATCAAAAGGTTCGTACAATCAAATCAAAGATACCCACAACCAAAAGGCTATCAAACTCCACGTTCAATTACAAGTACAAGAATCGAACAGATCTCTCAATTACTAACAACTTATTTCAATCCATAACTAATAAGATTCAAAATCGAATCTAAACAAGTAAATAGTGAAAAATCAACGATACAAAAAATATATATATATATATATATCAAGGATAATGAGACCGTTAGATCAGAATCGAGTTAAGAAATTCTCTTTTGCTGGTCGATTCTTTCAGGTACATGGATACCGATTCTTCCTACCCATCTCTCAATTTTTTTGAGCTAACTTGAGAGCCTCCACACATAGAAGAATCCAAACCCAACAACATGAAATAATACTCACAAGAAACAATTGAAAAGCCCTGATAACGGACCTATATGTATATATATATTTGCAACTATCCTTCTAAAAGTTTTCAAAATCCAGTGTAAATAACATATCTAAGTAACTTAAAAAAAAAAAAAAAAAACAGCACATTGTTACTATGTAATCACAAAAATATATAAATACAAGCAACACCTAATTAATATTGGCTAAATTATTTTTTTTAGTTCCTAATTAATTGTAATCTCATAACTGAAGACTATCTTAAAATAGACATAGAGATTTCAAAATTCCGTTTATTACATTAAAATAGAAATAAACATTTCAAAACTCATTCACATGCAGTTTAGGCACGACGCAGATGAAACACTCTTACATAAGGACGACCGATAAGATTAAAGGCAAAGTTTATGAAACAAATAAAGAGTTTGACACAAATTTAAAAATATAAGAGATTTGACGTAATTCAATAAAACTATACCTGAGTTTTATGCAATTTTGCAAAATATAAAAAATACACCTGCACTAAGAAACAATGAAGTGTTTGTTTGTTTATGATTTCAAACACAAAATACATTATTCAGTCACCATAATTTTCAATATAAAATACCATTTTTATTTTTCTTTTATAAAATATCATATTAAAATAATATTTAAATAAAAATTCAAATCAATTTTAAAAAAATTTTAAAATATTAAATTTAATTATAGTAACAATAATACACTTTAACCATTCAATTATTATACAAATTATATATATTAATATATACATATATATTTATTAGTATACACAATATAAGTAAAATAAATAAAAAAAAAAATAAATTATCCAATCCTTGTATTACAGGAGCTTGGACTAAGTAAGTATATATGTATATATATATTTTGGACAAAAAGACAACAACCATATATATATTTTGGTGTATAAAAAACCATTGATATTCCGAGCATTGCACTATTTCATCTCTCCATCAATCATTCTCCGAACCCTAAGAATTCTTCTTTCTACGCTTCCATTATAAATACACACCATTGTCGTCTTCATCTAATATTCATCTCAATTTCAAATCCAAAAACATAATTCATTACAATTACAAAATGTATGTCGTCAAACGACAGGTAGCTGTCCTCATCGGGGCAGTTTTCCTTCTCCTCCACCATTTCCCCATCGCCCATTCCCAGCCCCTACCCGTCCCCGGCGCCCAACCCATCCCCGGAGCCCTACCGGTACCCGGCGCGCTACCAGTTCCCGGCGCCCAGCCAGTTCCCGGCGCGCTACCAGTCCCCGGCGCGCAGCCTGGTGCGCCCGGCCAAGCATGCGAGCCGATTCCGACGGACAAGACTCAGCTCAACGCATGGTTCGAGCGCAATGTGGCTCAAATGTCGCAGTCGGTAGTGTCGGCGCAATCGGTGCTGAGCGCGGCCCTGGCCGGACCGCCGAAGGTGATCACGGTCAAGGCCGATGGGAGCGGGCAGTTCAAGTGCATCACGGAAGCCGTAAACAGCATCCCTCCGGACAACAAGCAGCGCGTAGTGATCTTCATTGGGGCCGGGAACTACACGGAGAAGGTGAAGATTGAGAGGAACAAGCCCTTCATCACCTTCTTCGGAGACCCGCTGTGCAGGCCGACCATGGTGTTCGACGGCAACGCTGCCAAGTTCGGGACGGCCGACAGCGGGACGCTGATTGTGGAGTCGGACTACTTCACGGCGATCAACATGGTCATTGTGGTGAGTAATTAATTGATAGAAAACCCTAATTTGATCAATTGAAATTTGAAATCTGAACTGGTAAAATGTATGTCAGAACTCGTCGCCCCGGCCCGACGGGAAGATGGTGGGAGCTCAGGCGGTGGCGATGAGGATAATGGGCGACTACGCGGCCTTCTTCAACTGCAGCTTCCATGGCTTCCAGGACACGCTGATGGACGACATGGGGAGGCATCTGTACAAAGACTGCTACATCGAGGGCACTGTGGACTTCATCTTCGGGAGCGGGCAGTCTCTGTATCTCAACAGCGAGATCCACGTCATCCCGGGGGACCCCATGGCCATCATCACCGCCCATTCGAGGAAGACCCTGCCGGAGACCAGCGGCTACGTCTTCGTGCACTGCAACGTCACCGGCACCGGCGGGATCGCGTATCTGGGGAGGACCTGGTTCGACTGCTCCCGGGTGATCTTCGCCTACTGCGAGCTGACAGACGTGGTCCATCCTCAGGGCTGGTCCAACAACAATCATCCCAACACCGACGCCACCGCCTACTTCGGGGAGTACAACAACCAAGGTCCCGGAGCTCTGCTGGACCAGCGAGCACCCTTCACCAAGAGGATGACCGACGCCGAGATTCAGCCCTTCCTCAACCTCGGATACATCGAGGCTGCCCAGTGGCTGCAGATTCCCACTCTTCCTGCGCCTCAGCCTCAGCCGCAGGCCATTTAATCCTTTTCTCTTTTCTTCTCTTCATGAATAATCACCATAATAATAATTCATCTATTTTAGGCATATGCTACTTCTTTTTCTTTCTTTTTTTCAAGTATAGGGTTAGGTTATTTTCCTCCAGCTGTATTTTATAGTTTTCTTGTAAATTTTGTTTTTCTTTTTAGGATTTTCTTATTTCTAATAACCGACATTACTAGTTTTTTTTTATCGGCATTTCATAGATAATTTGAATTGTTTTATATATGCATCTTTTTTTCAATTTTTATATCTTTTATATTCGATTCCAGTTTAATGGTGACCCACTTCTCCATCCGCATAACCCTAATTTTAGTTCCCCAACCTCGAAATTTTGGCTCTGCACAGTAAATTAGGGTTTCTGTAT